TAACACCAGTCACACCTGACTGAAATGTTGCTGTAGAGCAGAGCAGCCTCTTAAACTGGGATTACAACTGTTAAAATTTAGCTTTTTCATCAAATACATCTCTGTGTAGAAAATTACACTACACAGTCCTTCCAGGAAGTTGTGATTGCAACAATTAACGCAAATCCAACTAAACCCCATGAATTTCCGTGCAAAACGTTGAGACATACGTCACCAAACTACTGCTGATTTTATTCTCACTGGAGCAAGTTGTCTCATATTTTATAAATTATACAAAAATCAAACAAAAATCGCAATAATAATATGGTTCACACTGCAGTGGCAGTATGCAGTAAAAACAACATGGCTCAGATCAGCGGCCAGCATCAAAGAAAGCTCCTGTGACTTTTGCGTCAGTTTACTGATCAAAGTATCATTGACACTGAACAGCCTTTTGTGCTAGATCATGAAGACATGATGTATCATTGCATAATGGCAAACAGTTTTCTACCTTTGTAAACACAAATAAACCAAAGTAGTAAACATATGTCAATATTATTACTATTACTATTCTGTGTATAAACTGATATCATATGACAGTGAGACATATCTTACATTGCATTCACTTAATCTGTTTAAAAGCAAATGTGTGTATTTTAATGTGGTAACACTGGAAGGCCACTTCCTGAGATTGGACACATTGTCTGACTGTACCACATCCACACGTGTCAAGGTTAATGGATTGTTTTAAGAAAAGTATTTTGTTTTTACTTCAGAGCCACACCAAATACAGTTTATCCTGCTGTTAGATAACAGTGAACAGACTGTTCCTATCTCTGCTGATAGTCCCTGCAGTTGTTCTCTAATCATCACTCTAAAAGACCTCGTCTGTTGACCTGACATGACTTATTGTTTTGGGTAGTTGTTGACATCGAGACCTTGGGCCCAAGAAAAGATTTATGCAGGATGGGGCTGTGAGCAAGGTTTTTGAAATCTTCTGTGAGTTTTATCAATCTGGTGAGATATTGAGAGATTTGAAGTAGTGCTGTGTGCAGCATTTGAACGGTCTTACGAAATGAACAAACATTCCTACAGGCAGATATTTGCACTCAATAGTAGGTGTACTGTCCATTTCATCATTGATTGTGACTGTTTATCTATTTGTTCTGACTTCAACCACTTATGTTTTCATCCTTTACGAAGCACAAAAACAGCAACAAAACAAGGAAATATAATTGCATATGAATAAATAATCCAAGCAGCTCAGTGGTCATTAATGTTTCATTTTTAAAAGCTTTCTCTAGGGGGAAGCATTGCATTGCAAGTGGACTGACTTCCGCAGTAAAACTCTGACACTTCAGCTGGCTTACTGTCTTCCCCTGAACTGAGAGAATGCACCTGTGTGAGATTTACTGGAACAAATATAATAAATCTGCCTTCAAATTACTTCAAAATCTTATTTTTTAGCTACAGCAAACCATCATGTTCTTCCAACTTTTGAAATAACAAAACTTTTGAACATACACGATCATACATGATCACATTTTACAATAATTTTCTCTCTGACCTTGAAAATCTCCTTTTAATTAAATCAACATTTGGTTTATTTTTGGAATTACAATGTGGAGCCATGGTGAAGTATTCTGCGCGTCTCAAGAGTAATATTCTTTCATGCTAATTGCATTAAGTGTAAAAATGGTCACTGCACACTGATATGTATTTGATTTGAAATTATTGATTAGCATGATGGAAAAACACACAGTCGGACTTCTGAGTGTCTATGATGTATCAATAAAGAGACAGAGATGAATGGCTGGTTGCCTGTCTGCTCATCTAAGATCTATGTCATCACCAGGAATACAATGCACTCATTATGGAGTGTGACACAGACTGGATATTGTGCGGTGCCTGGGCATGAAGAAAGGGAAGGCCGCGGCCCTTTGTGAAGTGGGTCAGGTCTGTTGAGGGGTTAACAGTTGCTTATGTCAGCAGAATGATGTGATTTGATAATTCCCATAGCCTATGAACCCTAACAGAACCAAAGAAACCTGTTAAGGACCTGCAGTCGCTCCAATTATCCCATGATCCTTTGTCGGGCACTAAACACCAGACATTTGTAGGGTCAGATTGGATGTCATGTGTAGTGTTGGTTTGAATTAGCCTCAAAGGCAACCACAAACCCCCACAAAAACATTTCAGTCAAGCAATGAGCAAATCTCATGAGAACTTCACATCCTGCAAAACCCAAAAGCATGAACGTTGAATGCAGAGCAGAGAATCTATATGTGGACTGACAGGATCAGTTACAGTAGTGTGGCCTGAGAATAATATATATATTTTTTTTGCTGGTATGCATGTAAGAGTTTGCCATTCGTGTAACAAGAACTGAGATCCAAGAATTTAGGATATACTTGGGAAACATCATAAATTTCAATAGAACTTTGAGCGTGATATGAAAAGGTGAGATCAGATCACATTTCATGAGAAAAAGCTTGTGTTTCAGCCACCTAAAGTCAACATCCTAGAGTCCTAGAGACACAAAATAAAGGTAATTACAGGAGAAGTACAGGTTAACCAAGGGGCATAAAAGCTTTGCAGGTGTTCAATGTCCAATTGCTACTTTGACATTTTTATGTCGTTTTTGGATGGGCCAACATGCAAAACCTCTTAAAATAGCAAAAACTCATTAAAGCTTTGCAATTTTGGGCTCACTAGGACAACTTCAGCGACACATGAGGGTGTTAGGTTACACTTTCATTCAGAGCTGCAAGTAGACAACCTCCATATGTGTGTGTGAGCTTGTACTTTCTGTGATGTCATTGCTCAGATCCGGGTGATCCTTTCCTGGCCAATCGGTGTGAAGTAGGAGATTTCTGGGGGAGGCGGTTAGTGGATGATGGAGGAGGTTAATCTCTAAACCGGGCTGTAAAACACTGACCTGTGGGAGTAAGTTAATGGTGTGGTGTGTTTTCTAGTGTGTCTCAAGAACCTGTCTGCAGTTGCCCAAATGTGACATGTATTAGGTTTATACAGCTGGACGTGACCCAGCTAAGACACGAGAAGATCTGTAATAGATGAGAATGTTAGGTCATCGTCTTAACGACAGTCAGGTCTTATGCATTAAGATCAGTCCCTTCAAACCTCCTCAGAAGCTCAAAGTGCACGGATATAGGTGTAACATTTCAGAGTTAAAGATCAAGGGACTTCTCAAGAAATCAAACAGAACCCATTGAGTTAATTATGTAAACCAAGACTGATTTTGCCCATCTTCACTCACAGTATGTTGCATAAAGTCATTGGTGTTCTGGTGCATTTTAAGGCCTTCAAATTCAATCATCCAGCATTTAATTTAATTTGATGGATCCTGGAACATTGATATTGTTTATATGTAATCATAAAGTACTATCATAGAATAAATGTTTTCTTTTCATTTGTACAGTCAATGTGGTTTACAGGTTTCCAACATGATGTACTTGAAACACATAGTCCTAAATTATCAGCACCCACCGGCTACTTCTTGGACTTTCCGGAAACATTTACAAATGAAAGTCATTTGATGCTGCTTTGGTTGTTTTTAATATGTTTACTATGTAAGGATCTCTGTATAGCCTTTTATCTTGGCATTGACAGTAGGATACCCGTTTTTTAGGCTATTTATCTCAGATAAAGGCTTGAACAAAGGGTGGAAAGTTCTGAGTGATTTATGTTTTCATAATTTAACAGAAGAAGCTGCAGTGATTTGTAGCAGTTCAGTAAGTAAGTGGGCTCATGTGGAGCAACAATTTGCTGTGGTGATACTGTTGGCAGAGCTTCAACTTTCTCTCTGTTGTATCTTTAAGCTTGTCTGAATAATGTGTTGTGGAGCCAGTGAACTGCTGCATCACATTATCCTATATTCAAATGTAGGAAATATATCCATTTCCTAGTTGTTGTTCATTTTTTGTGTTGATATTCAGCACATATAGAGTGCTGCAGGAATGAGCGCTAAAAGCCAGAACTAAGTTAGCATTTTTGCACTTCTGGTTCCCTCAGCTCGAAGTCAATGGGTTTTATAAATGAATTAACATGTATTAAAAGAGGCAGATGCTAACAAGTGGCTAAGTGAGACTACAAAAGCCTGCCAAACATGGAGACTTATCCACCTTTACAGCCTTGTAAAAGAGAAATAAAGAGAAATTGTGTAATATTCTTTTTATAATTTCATGCTTGGGGAAGCTGTTGCAAAGGTTGTTGTTCATCCATGGAGAAAGCATCAAGGAGTAGGCCATCGTTTTAAGTAACAAAACCTTTGTTTTAATTTACTTAGTTTCAAGGTCAAATTGTGTCTCATTTCCTCTTAAGAGATTATTGTTCCTTAAAATTATCTAAAACTGTCAAACTGTGTTTTGAATGAGCCCACAAAATACCTTTGACACAGTTTGTGTCATTCAAATGATTGTTTCCTTCTCTTATTTGGAACCATTTTAGCACGATCTCTACAACACATGGGTCTATAATAAGACCTGTGGGAGGCATTCCTTCGTCAGAAAATTTCATCACAAAATCATTAATCATTTATCATCAATGACACACTAATGCAAGTTTTTTTTTGCCACATCGGAACTATGATGATGAACAGGGTGAATATGGTACCAAAGCTAAACATCTGCATGACTGTCAATCATTCTGACTTTAGCAATTAGCTCAAGGCACAGTGCCTTGTAACTAATAAGGTTACTAGAATGACTGTAGAAGTATTAACCAAGTTTTATCCATAAACAAAAAGCTTTTCATAAATATTATTTTTGCTTTGTTTCCCAACACAACAGTATAGTACTGTTGGCAACTGGGGCGAAGGTTTGATAACTTTAATAAGTTAAACTACAACTACCGTTTTAAATGTTCATTTTATCTTTCATCTTTACCACACCACTCATATTATTCTAGCAAGCAGCCTACTACAACTCTATACTCTATAAAGCCCTCCTAACTGTGCAGAAAACTCACAGCATGCTAGCAAACAAGTCTGAATATGCCTCTCCACTGTGTCACTGTTTGTAACTCCATGCTGAGTTCTGGCTTGAACTTCCTAAATAGTCACATTCCAGTGTGGGAAGACCACAGGTAGGAGGCTGGTGAAGAGAGAGGTAAAGTCAGAAAGGATGAAAAAGAGGAAGAGTGTGAACAAAGGAAGAGAAAGAAAAAACTGTGAAAGGGAAAGAAAACAAAAACAAACCAAAAAGGAGACCATGGCGATTCGACACTACTGGCTGCTGCTATTGTTGTTCAGCTGGATTACAGGTAGTGTGGTGGTGGAATGTGCAGATTAGTGTGTGTGTGTGTGTGTGTGTGTGTGTGTGTGTGTGTGTGTGTGTGTGTGTATATTACTCACACTGCACCCAGAATAAGCATGTGGGGTTTTTTGTGGTTGTATAGCCATGTGTGTGTATGAATATGCAGTTTTGGGCTGCAGTGGTGGACTGTCCTCTTCGTGGCTCAGACATGTCTCGGCCTGTCCTCTCAGGAATGCAGCAAACAGGAGTCCTCATGCAAAACCTACCAGTGGTGTAGACACAGCATTTTGCTTTTCTTGTGATTAATGGGGTACACCCGTTTATTTAGAGTTAAGTGAACTGTAATTCACTCAGGAGGGGCAACAGCAAGTAGGTAATGACACCTTGTATGGGAAAGCGCAAGCCTCTCCTAAGCTTTCTCCAGTTAGCCAGCACTTTCACAATAAACATGACACATTAGTCATACAGTAAGGGTAGCCAAAATTTGGACTGACAGTGGTAAAAGGGTAAAATGACATACAATCGTTGGCTTTTGGTTTCAGTTGGAACAGATACAAAAAAAAACAAATAACCATAAAATGTGCAGAACTAAAACAACTTAAGCCGAATCACAAATTAACACTTTAAGTAATTTATCACAAATCCATCACCAATCAAAAAATATTTTGTTATATTTTTTTCAAAACCTGCAGATTTTGTGACAATTAATGATTTCCTGAGTAACAAAATTCCTTGCGAATGTAGGTGTAGTGTGCACAATGACATGAACAAATAACCCTGCCAAAGTCTTGGATGTGTTATTTTGAATGTGCCAACATCAAGACAACAATAGCTTGTTGAGAAAAAAAGAAGTGAAAGAATAAACAAATAAGTGAACAACAACAAAATGCGTTAAATCGTATAACAATGTGTTTCCCAAACCTGTGGTTTTAGTTGCCTAACAACCAAAGCTTGACCTAATGCTGTGCTCAATAATCCTCAGAGATGAGGAGTATTCATGTTGCAATTTATTGTTCAGAGTAAAATTATAGAGAATGTTGATGAGATGAATAATTCTTGTAATAAGACATGATTATGATGATAATGATAAGGCTGATTTTATTTTATGATTTGCTGCAGCAGTGGATTCACTGAAGATGATAAACATAGAGGGTGAGAGTGGGAATCCTTTTCTGGTTTACCTGTGATGTCTGAAACTCTGTGAAGTGACTTTAATTTCTTCCTTTTTGCCAGGGGCTGTGAGTGGCATCAGTCCATATATAAAGCATTATGAGCGCTTGTCATATGATAGGGAGGATCTTCACAGGAAGCACCTGAGAGCCAGAAGAGCCACCCAACCTCAGGAATACACACTGCAGTTGGACTTTACTGCTTTCCACAGGTAACAATTTCTTTAACTGTGGAAATTATTTCAAAAGCTCACACTCTCTTTGAACCTCTTGTTTCTAAACCAATAACACATGTCAACCATTAATTGTCCATGTTTGCCTGCTGCTGATGGATCTACATACCTTCCACACTACAAAGCTTTGACCACATCTGTGAGCTGTTTTTGTTTCTTTCAGAACCTTCCGGCTGCATCTGAAACGCAATGCAGCAGTATTTTCTGAAAATTTCACTGTGGTCAGTGAAAATGGTTCCATGTCAGCTGACCTCTCCCACATATACTCAGGAATACTAGAGGGTGGGTATGACAGGGAAATATGGCCTACTAGGGCTGGAAACAGTTTAAAGTGCAATTCAAGTGAATTTACTGGAATCAAAGCTTAATCACCTCATATCAAAAGTAAATTATCGTCTTTATGGTCTGGATAAAACATTTGGAAAAACATCTGTTTGTGGCAAAACATTACTGATTATTGAAATTTGAAGAACAAAGTAAAATTTACTAAAATGTGCAGATTGAATGAGAGCCGATGAATTGCTTTCTCTCTCTTTCCTCATGTCTCACCCCCTGTATCTCTCCGATGTCTGAAGTTGTGCTGCCTCTTAGTTTCAGTATCTTATCTATTTATTGTCTTGTTGTCTGTCTCTCTGTCTCTATTTCTCAGTTATCCCTTATCTCTGCTCATTTTCACCTCTCTAAACCCTGACATGTTATATTTCTTGACCTTTCTTGCAGGTGAACCTGGTTCAGCCTGCCACGGCTCTGTGTTACAGGGTCAGTTTGAGGGAACCATCCATACAGACAATGGGACTTATCACATAGAGCCTGAACAGAGATATACCAGCAACCAAACAGATCACCACTCTATAATCTACCATGAGGATGACATGGGTAAGACTAGTTTCCATTTTCCACTTTAGGAAAACGGTTAAGAAAAGGTCTTCTCGGGTCATATTTTCAAGCTTCTGTTGGCTCTGTATTACCTGCTCCCAGTGTGCAGAACGAACTGAAGCTTATGGGTCTGCAGACTCAAATTGTCCAAATGACATGCCATGACCTCTTTTCCTGGCCGTTTGATGATGATGAACAGCGCATCTCCCCCAACAAATTATTACACATCCCTCTTGGCAGTCTCACAGAAATCTAAACAACTCCAGTAAAATGCATTTCCCCACTATTACCCATCGTCATTGCTCTTTTCTCACGTACTATCTGTACAGTATCTGCAGCCTGAACCTCTAGTACAAACTAAGGTTACTAGGGGTCAATGAACTATCTGTACCCATAACTCATAGTAAGAGTGGAGTTATAACAGCAGAACCTATTTAGGGCTCCGAGGGGAGTTGGAACTCTCCCTGGGCACAGGCCAAAGAAAAGATACTGAAGATGGTGTGACTTTTAAAGGAGGAGGAGGAGGAGGAGAAGGGGTGAGGTATAGTGAAACAGCAGGAGAAGGATATGAGTTTCTAAAGGGAAAGGAGAGAAGAAAAAAGAAAAGGAGCATATAGAGGATCTTGGAGACCGTTTCTGCAACAACAGATTAAAATTAATTTAAGTTGGTTTACTAGTATGTCGTGTGTGTGTCTATGCATATTAGTGTGTATGTGTGTGAGTGCTCCTGTGTGTGTGTTTCCCTGGCTGCGTGTGCACCTTTGCATCAATAAGAGATTATTTCCATGAAAGCACTTAACGTTTGTCCTTAAGTTTACACAGACTCCGTGGCTGCCCTTCTCCCTACACCTCCCGCCATTTCTCCAACCCCTGTCGCGATTGTAGCAACATTTACATTAGATAGTGTTGCTGCTGACAACATCCTGTTCTTTCAATCACAGGACTGCATATCTGCAGGAAACTGTGAAAGATTTGGCGCATGATATTTCAATAAACAATCAATGTTTCCATACAAGCACACAAGTGGTGAATCAGGAAGGGCTGACATAATGTGTCTACTCCTGTGTATATTTCCACTTCCTGTAGTTGTCGTCTAGGGACAACAAAGGTTGTATGAGGAATTTTCTGCCTCCTGGGATGTCATGAGGTCTCTCAGATTTGGGACACAGGGCATGTTCCAGGATGGCCACCTTGTCACATCACCATCTCCACCATCTCCACCTGCTTTTAATCCTTGAAAATCAAACACTTTTGAAAACTCAAGGGCATCATTCTACAAATTGAATAATAAACAGTACACATTAATAGTATGAAGAATGTACTAAGAATGTAGACACAGTAGAGTGACACAAGTGATTCTACAATGGCAAAGTATTTGTTATTCATAAACTCGCCACCCTACCCACCATTGAATTTCCCAAGGGCTGAGACAACATAGTAATACTTGGTTGTATGAATTGTGACTCCATTTGTGCAAACTAGGCCGATGCTTGGTTTTCCTAGAACTTTGGCAGCTTAAGCGAAACTGCATGCAACGCCATATTTGTCTCTGGAAACGTCCACTAGAACCAGGGTCACCATTGTGGGAGTTGCTGTGTTTAACGACTGCACCTCTGAGTGGCTGTTGATACATAAACTCACTGCCCAAAAAATCTACCTGGTGGTGACACAACATTTGCGTTTACACCCTCCAGCACTGCTGTTGCTATTGCACCTTCAAACGTATGTGTGCAGTTCCAGTGTTGTTACACCCTTGTTGTTTATGGGACTTTCTGTCAGTTTCAGTTTGAAAGATGGGTAACTATTAACCTCATACTTCCTTGAGATAAATCAAGAGTAATACAAACACTTAAATATCACTGAAAATCTCTTTAATGTTTAATTCCTGGGCTATTAATTGTTGCCTTAAACTGAAAGTGAAGTTGTGTGTGATCTCTTTGCATTTTCCTTCAATATTTTTACACTATGTCGATTGGAAACCTTCACTAGAACTTTTATTAAGATTCCACACATACCAATCTGTCAAATCATCAGCTTTACAAGCATATAATTGATTCATCAAACATATATTTCTTCATGATATTTGTTGCCAAATTACATTATACAAGCACAGAGGATTTAAGACATAGCTCTGTGGAACACTGGCTGAACCTTCGGTGTTGCATCAGTGTCTAAAGGTTATCAGTCTTTTGTATTAGTGCTAAAGAAGCAGCTGTTACAGTGTGCACTGCTCAGAACTAGTGTCATTGTGAGAAATGCAAGGACTATCACATAAAGAAAAGTGTACATTGAAATACATTTGCAAGAGAGAGTGTGATTGTTCCTAACAGACTGAGCTGTGTAGAGTGTGTTTCATCACTTGCGTAAATGGGGAGGATGAGGGTAGATATGGGATATCTGGATTATATGAGGCAAAAAATCTCTCACCAAGCGTGTGAATTATGTTTTTTGTAAAAACTATTTTTAATACTGTTTTTAAAGACCATTGAATACCTGATAAATCAGAGGTTTAATCCAAGCAATGGACGTGTGTTCTTGAGCGGAGGTGTAAACAGACTCTCTTATAGGTGAGGAGGGAGAACGGTTGAGTTGTTTTATATTCAGGTTTAGGGTTATTTTGCACTTGAGCTAACTAATGGGGCACTTAAGGGTACTAAGACTGACTACAGTGGCACCTGGGCCAACTGAAGGGGCATATGGAAGACACTCAGCTTGACCAAAGGGTAATTTGTGGGGCACTTGTGACTTAAGGTCATAAATGGAAATTTCCCATTGCAGTACAAACATATCCTGGTTCAAAAAGGGCATTTCATCACTCCATGCCTTTTTTTATCAAGTATTGGGCCTTCCCCCAAGACACGTAAACCATAAAGCTGGAGCTGGAGGCTCTGGCATATGTTTTCTACATTACTCTTAACAGTAGAGCTATCCACCAGCAGCTGCTGGGAGTGTGAGTCTTGACTGAAATGCGACACTGATTTTTCATTTGGGGAATCGTTTTCTTTTCCAGCCAAGTCTTGCGCTGATAGTGCAGTAGTTCATGATTGTTATTGAGTGTGATTTGTGCATGGGATTCAAATCACTACGAGCAGATTCAGTCAGACATTTTCTTTGCTTTTTAATTGGCAAAAGAATAAAAAATTTATAATCTTTTGCAACTTTGGCAACACAAGCTAGAAACATTTATCTCCGACAGTATAATGGAAAAGGAAGAGACATCAAAGCAAACTAAGAGAGAGAGAGAGCAAGAGAGGGTATGGGAAAGTAAAAAGGTCTGGAAATAATTCCATCAGTGTGTCGACGCCCGGCATTTAGGCTTCCACGTACACCTCCACCCCCACTCATGCCATGTATAGAACGAATTACAGGTTTGTGATTGGCTGGAGGACTTTTGTAGGATGGTGTGATCCAATCATGTGCTGCCTGTCGCACACTGTAGGCCCATGTCTGATCCAGGGGGATGTTGTAATGGGACACACACATGCACACACATACACACGCACTGTGCATTACCCCTTGAAGTTCTTACGTGTCACCAGTTAAGTGGCAAAACATTGCCTGATTCTGTTCCTCTCACTACTGTCAACAGTGTGTGAACGTAATTATTATGTCATGTGACTGGTGAAATGTGTCGACATTATTGTACCTGGAATAGTTTAGTTAGAAGTCTACATTCAAATTAGTCTAAAACCACAGTGTTTGTGAATAATCCCACTGAAACATATTGTTTTGATTATTCTACATTATTATGACATATTTTCAGTTGACTTTACATTACATTCTGTCTTCCATATTCATATGAAGATCCCCCAAAGTCCCTGACCATAAACCTAATACACTCTGTTGCAATCAAGGTCTTTTGGCTCTTGGCATTTCTTTGGAATTCTGTGTCTTTGCCAGCGCAACAAGATGGGCCAATTTATGCAAATGCAATGCCTCCCTTGACTGCAATCCTACATTATTGCATCAATCTAAAGGAGGCAGCCATCCCAGAGGTATTGCAAATCGTAGCCGATTGTGTTGCTTTAGTGAAATCAAACCAGCACCTATCACAGTGTTTTCCACAGGCTGCCCTCATGGCTCACACCAGACCACAGCGCTGATTTCCAAATGTGGGTCCTCTATTTATAAAGTGTCTGAGAATGTGAGGGTGTTTCTGTCCATGTTAGCTCAACGTGCGTACACCAACACATTGTATGACTTTGCACATAAAATACATTTCATTTCACTCAAGTTTGCTGTTTGTGTAATGCCATCTGTCATAATTTTATTTTGGCATTGTTCAAAGTAATTACTGGGGTCATTAGTTTGCATTTGACACTGAAGAGGACCAGACAGTATAGAAAAGTGAGTATAGAATAAAAAACCTGAACAGAGATATTTAATTACAACATTTCAGTACACAAACCTTCATGAGGTTTTATAAAATAGTAACCTCAGCCTCCAGGAAACAAACCTTTTCTATGATTGACGCCATAAAACAATAAATGTGACCTCATGCACCCTTTGAGTAAACAAGAGAAATCACATGACTGAACATCTTTACTTTGTTTCAAACTTGGAGACCTTGAAATGTAAGGAAAGATATCAGGAAACACCAGAATAAAACACAAACACTCTTTATTGACTTGACATGGTCTCCTGTCTGATAATGACTTGATAATAACTCTATTTGCCAAATATTCTGCACATTTTACCATGGGCACTTCTAGGCCCCATTCTAGGCCCCAGCATACACACTCAGGGCCCTGAAAGAGATAATATTCATAGTTAGTGGCATGTTTCAGCATTTCCTCCCCAATCACTGCTCCTGGTTAAGCACACACACATAAAATGCAACACGTTTACAATAATCCTTTTAAGCACAAACAAATCCTTTTCCAAAGATCATACTGCGAGCCCTGGTCTACATCAAGGATGTTTTTATTTGTGAGGTTATCTTACACAATATCCTGTCTGCTCCAACAAATGAGCAGAAGTGGGTTGAACAAACCTTGTGTTTAATCTCTGTTCAATTATTTATTATGATTGGAGAACACTGTTTTATTTGGGACATTGCGCCCCCACATTGAGATAAGTCATTGACGGCAGTAAAAAGTTCACCAACTGAAGGAACATGTTCAAGGACAAAATTAGTTGTGACAGTATTTGTTGTGTGTTTGACAAATCTATACTTTTATTCAGAATGTGTATCAAAGTCAGTGTTTTTGTGTGTGTGTGTGTGTGTGTGCAGTCCTACCATCCATGAGAACTGGTCCTGGTGAATTCTGTGGTGCAGAACATCTAAATCTCCTCGCCCAAAGCCTCAGACTCAATGAGGTAGGACAGTCCAGACATCACCTCAGTTAATAAAACACTAACACACACACTCTGCCTTACTTTCTTTTTCTGTACTCACCCTTTTCCGCCTCCTCTGCAATACCATTTTAACTGCAAAACAAGGAACAGTCATAAGAGGTAACTCACCAGTGTGTCTGATTCATCTGTTGTAAATGACCTTATTTATGAGGTATTCATTTGGTCACTTTTATTTAGCTTGAGTCACCAATAGCAAATAACAGGATCTACTCCCAGCTGTATTCTTTAACAGTAACAGAAACAAAGTGTAAGAGTCAGAAAACACAGTATGGTGACTTAGGGAAGCTGAAAGCTGCTTCTTTACAGGCCTATATATTAACAGTAACTGCTGCAGGTCCAAACGCACCAGATGACCTCGACTATGTTGTAAAGTGATTATAAAACTAGACATAATGGAATAAACATCTGCCAAATCTAATTAGCTGATATCTCCCTTGGGTACTATTTTTTGTTAACCTTTGACCAACTGGGTCGTGGTCCCAATGTCCATTGTCAACAATGGATGCGGTGACATTGATCCATTTTTAACAACATGCCTGTGGGCGAAGATCCGAAAATCGTCTGAACAGATGCTCCCAGTGGAGCCTAGTCCTTGTTCCTGTTCCTGTTCCTGTTCCTGTGGCTTCACGTCACCTTTCCTACTGGGACATGCGACAGCCCAGTTAAGTCAAACTGACATAATGTTTTGATCTGATACACATATTTGGAGGATAAGGTATTCACTAATACTGACGAGAGGTTCAAGTACATGCTGGTGATTCAACAGGTTAGTCATGATTAAAATCTGCCTCCCCTTTAAAATCTGCTCCATGTTTAATTCTCTCTTTGGTGTCCCTGTAATTTTATCCACAGGAGGCACCAGCGAGCCGGTTGAAGAGGACAGTGGATGAGTCAAAGACCAGCTGCCTGCTCCACCTCCATGCCGACCACCTCTACTACAAGAGGTTCAAGTCTGTTGAAGCTGTTGTAGCTCAGGTGATCAGCTGTCTTTAAACATAATTTATCTTGGTTTGACAAGACATGATATTTCACATGTGATACGTTTTCTTTATTAAATCTTCAGTTAAGTATCAATGCTGGGTAAATACCCAAATGCAAAATAGATATGTCTGTTTTAACTAACAATAGAGCTAATTCAGGTTAAAGGTTTAAAGTTATGATTCTATTTTTATGGACACAAAAAAATGTCTCAAGCCTGCATGTCACCCACTTCAAAGTGATGCACTTTAGATACTGTTGATATCTGAGCTGCCTGATGTTTCAGGCCTACCAGAACACAATGTACACCAGAGCGTTTATAGTGTAATGGAACATCCAACAGGATCGTTAAATCACAACAGGATTTCCTCGACTTTTGACTGAGCTGAGCACACTTTGTTTACAAACCTGTCCCTGAATTCAATGTCCTGCATTTTGGGTACATGGTGCCGGCATTCAAAGATCAACTAAAGTAATTCTTTGTCCTAAAATATTATCTTAATAAAACAACTGAAACCTGCCTGTAGGGTGATTCACTTGTGTCCAACAATATTTAATAGATTTCAAAATGGTTCCTGTGTCATTTGGCCCTACATTAGTAATCTTTCTTATTTAACTGAATTAACCTAATATAAGCAGTCCGTGATCTCAGTAAGGGTCAGTTATCAAACATTACCCTGTGAAGTATTTCAGGTTCTCTGTTAACCTCCATTTAAAGGAGCATTTTGACAATGACTAAACTTTTTTGTCTAGTTTTCCTAAAATTAGCAACATCTAAATCTACATGACTAAAATCAAATGAGAGGAAAACAATTTGTTTTGGGATAGTAAATTATTTAACACTGAGATATTCTGCAATATTGAATAAAGTGCCGAGCTTTTGCGGCTCTGAGTAAAGGACCACCTGCCAACGCCTGCAGAGACACACACAGCTGTCATGGCATTAGACACGGCAGCAGTATGGAGGAGGTTGGGAACCTTCTCGCTCTCAGCGAACCTGGTGGCACATGCATTACAGGCATCTGGCTAAATAAGGTTTTCACACCTGGCACAGACCCAACAGTCTGCAATGGTAGAATAAGCACCCAACAGCTCCAGTATGTACCTTCAGTAACAACTCTACGGGTGCCACAGATAATCTGGATCGAAGGTAGAAGTACAAATTTGCAATAAGACAACCTGATTTGAAAATGTAATGACCTCTTTCTCGCATTTAATGCACTCTGTGAACTCTAAGGTGGCTTGTTACATTTAAAATGTCAAAAAATGTCTAACCCCTTGTCCTGCTCTCCTGATCTTTGACCTTATTGGAGCAGCGAAACTTCTGCAACAGCACCTGACTGTGGACATGGAAAAACTAGTTTGATTTCCAGAAGAATGTTCCTTTTCAGCTCAAGTGGGACTCCAACTTTAATTTAGAGATGTAATGCTAATGAAAAACAATGCATTTTGTGGTATAATCTGATCTTGGTTTTAGTGTTCACTGACCTGTAGTTGAAGTCAGATTTGAGTGACATACTGCATTGAAAGCTGCTTGTCTGCTGGCACACCTGCATTGCTTCAGTAATAAGAAAGATAAGAGCGATTTAAGTGTCTGTCTGTGTTGAAGTTTCTTTGTCTGAACAAAGCGCTTGTCACTGGGGTCAGAGGTCATGTGAGATGTTATCCTAATATTGAGTTTGTCACATCCTGATATGGGAATGACACAACCACAACAAACATAATTAACTTACCTTTCAACTTACTCTAAATTAAAACCAACAGTATTTATTATTACATTCCATATTTGATACGAGAGCACAGATGTTTAATTTAATCCAGTTCCCAGCATTTGATCCAGGTTCAGTTTGGAACAAGTTGCACCTTCGTTTGTGTGTTTCCCGCTGTGAAATCTCTGTCACATCTGAGCTTTTTTAATTATATCTCTCTGTGGTCAAAATAAGGTCAGTTAATGAGTAAGTAAGCCCGTCCTTTTGTGGATACACTGTTATTCTCTCTGGCCGTCCACCTGCTGTCAGTCCTCTCATCATGTCTTCTCAGATTCTTTCCACCTCAAACACACATACTCGTTGTTGTCCCTGGTTCAGTGCCAGACCTTTGGTGCACCGGGTGAGAAAATATACTGTAAGCGATGCCGTGAAGTGATCTTTGAGTGTAAATAGACAGAATGCTGTTGTAAGTCACTGATGACCTGGTTTTGTCCAAGGTGTCAATATTTACATTTATGGAAATTCCCAGCAGGCCATACTGTACACTCATCTCTTGTTGTGTAGACGCAGACCTTCACATGTGACTGGTTTGCACGTGGCTCTCTGGATATGTGACTGGCTTTGCCACCCACACTAAACACACCCGGTGGATAACCTACAGATTACCTCACATGACCCCATTATCAATCATAATCCAAACTTGGTCGAGCTCAGAAAGAGTCTTGTATTGTCAAAAGGATCAAATGCTAAATCTACTGCGAAATTTTATTTTGTCTTCTGGAACCAACCTGCAATAGCCCTGAGAGCTCAATGCACCACAACTTGAGAAAATACATTTTGATTATAATAACAATAATTTGACAGAAATACGCACAAAACCAGAAAACAAATACAAAACTAAATGGAAATAATAAAAAATCGAAACAGATGGCTATTTCCAAATGCTGTTGTGGCTGCCTGTTCTAATCCATCTCTGACAAAATAAATGAGTCTGAAGTGACTTGTGCAAGTGCTTCATCGCAAAAGTATCCAATGATGTCATCTTTACAGTGACTGTACAGTTGTTTCCTAACCAGACACCAAACCCTTCTGCTTTGGGCGGGAATGATGCTGCTCAAAGTTGCTAAGCAGACACAATTCTAATTATTATTATCCTTATTATTGCACTTTTTAGTAGCCCACAAGAGTATGCCAGCCAGGCATTTCACTGCACATGTTGAGAATTGTGACAAATACAGACACGAGTCGCAAATACCAAAACTTAAGTAATCATCACTTCAGAAACCACAAACCATAACAATAAACTCCTGTGTTCAGGCATCTTCATTGTGTCCCCTGGAAAGCTTTGTTGAACAAGTTCCATTTCATTCTGTGCAACTTGCAGCGTTTCTGGTTGTGTTTTCAGTATTAGCAGTGTGTTTCGTTATGCTGCATATGTGTGGTCAAGTTGGAGAAGATATTACATTCTTCTGTGTTTTGTCTGGTGGTGACATGTGTTTTTATGTTCTGAGGGCCACTTAAACTTCAACCACAGAGCACCTACTGTACTCTAAAAGATCAGAAGCAGGAGATGTTATTTGACTGTTTCCTCATATAAATGAATGTGTTCCTCAGGTTGCCTCCTACATGCAAGCCGTGAATGACATCTACGACAAGGTGGACTTTGATGGAATAAAGCTGATCAACTTCAAAGTGAAATCCCTCAGCGTAAGGTCCTTCTGCACTCATACAACAACCCGATTGACACAGATCTAAGAGTGACAGACTCCAAATGCAGGACTCTGATAACTCCATACAACCAGTAATCCTGGCTTCCACTCTTATTACACAAACAGGTCATGACCCCCTTTGTTTGAGATAGTTGGGTTAATGCATGCCTATATGTCTTCTTCTACCAGTGAGAATCAAACTTAGACACTCTCAGCCCCAAACATTACTTAAAATGACAGAAATACAAAGCTAACTGTAATTGCTTGTGTCCTTAAGTGAGCTCCTTCACAGATATTTGATCGATTGATCTGCCTGTGTCTCTCCAGGTGATGATGGCGGAGGATAAAAACGATCCTCTGTATCCTCTTTACATCGGACCTGAGAAACTGTTGAGTCTGTACTCCGAGAACAACTGGGGCAACTTCTGTCTCTCCTATCTGCTCACTAACAGGGACTACAGCGGAGTGCTGGGGCTCGCCTGGGAGGGCAAAGCTGGTGAGTCAAACTCACTGCAACACATGCACTCACACAAGTAACACACAAATAATACAGAAGCTCAGTGACAGACATATTTGTCTCAGAGCACAGTGTGGATTGATAAAAGTATGACTTAATTTTTCTTTGAGGATGCTATGAAACAGCAGGTAAGACAAGCAATTACCAGTGTTGGGCAGTAACTCATTACTAGTAATAATATTACAGTAATACTTTTCCCAGTAACTGGTAGTGTAACTAATTACTAATAAATGTCAGTAATAATAATACAGTTACTCCTCCAAAAAATAATTAGTTGCAATGTTACTTTGGTTGTCACCTCCTACTGATTTGAAAAGTAACAATCCAATGACATCCTTGGAATTTATTTTTGTAATAGTGGAGGAAACTAGTTTGGAAGATGAAAATACTTATATTCAGCTGCTGGAAATGTTCTAGTACTTTGAGTTTAACAAACAAAACTAGATTTTAATCGTCAGAGGTCTGAACTTTGGGGACAAGGGACACAATTAGCAATTTTGTGGGGAGCAGCAGAAAAGAATTATAACTAGTAACTCATTACTGTTGCATAGAGTAATAAGTAATGTAATAATATTACTTTTTAAGAGAGTAATGAGTTATATATTACATTTTGAGTTACTAGCCCAACACTGGTAATTACAAACTTTAACTGCACCCTAAAGCTTCTATCTGGCATATTGGACACTCAATGCATTTATCAAGATGTCCCTCAGTGTCTGTATCGTTTAAAAAAAAAATTTGACAGTAGAGAGAAATTTGTGTTGAGAACATGTGGCAGGCTGAACAGAAACAGGAAACAGATATGAGTCTGTCCATGTTTAAAAGTATGAGGCTTGGAAAATGAAATAATGTTTTCCTGCTCTGTCTCTCTACGTGAATCTCTACATGAATCACTGTTGATCTATCAAAGCACAGCTCCCTCTCTGGCTCCCAGGACTCCCTGGCCTCCATATAACACGAGCTCGCCAGAGGCCACGTTCAACTCTCCTATGCACATTTCCAGATCGTTATGAATTATTTGACCCTGTGAAGGAGGTGAATCAGGGGTGATGGGTGGGTAGAATCAGCATGAATTCAACTGCACTGACACTGAAGATAAAAGAGACTGTTTCTGAGTAAAAGAAGCAAATGTGCACAGAGAAAAGTAAAACTTGAGCATAAAGCAGGTGTAGAAACTGGTGCAAATGCATACTTGCTATCCAGTTTATTAGTAGCGTCAGTTCAGTTGCTTTGGGTTTTTCCTCAATCAAATGATGTTGTGGCACACAGAGTAGCAGGAATTATACAGCTCCCATTTCAGGCCTGTTATACAAGCAGTGTTTTGGTTTGAGAGACCAAAAACAAAACGTGAGTGAACTCCTCAAATAACAACCCCCCCCCCGAGTGATTTGCATTTTAAAGCTCCCTTACCATCTGCTGTTAGGCTGAAATGATTCAAAAATGTGCATAACGGACAACATTATAGACATGTTCTTTCATTTTAATTTCAATATTTACAGACAAAATCAAACTCAAAATAAGACAAATAAGAAAATAAATCACACCCCTTGAATAAAGCAATAACATTTGTTTGTTTAAAAAGTCATCAATTTGCATTATGAACGTTACATTTTTCTATAATGTACCTGAATTATAATTCAGTAACCCATATTATTAAAAATAGTCAGTCAGTGAGTCAGTAATGATATTGACTTTTACTGATAGCTGACATTTCCTTACACAATAACGTACAGAACTTGCTTCGACAAACTTTTACAAACAAAAGTCACAAACTTTCAGTCAACTCAAATAAAATGTTTAGGACATAAATACACAGATTTATAACTTCCTAATGTCATCCATGTGTTTCAGGTCTGGACAGACTGTGTTGTATTATTGTTGTGTAGAAGGAAGTCGGACATGTATGTTGGACTTGTTGTGGTAGGAGGTCCTTCCTGGTTGTTTCTATGACATTGTTTCATATGCAGCTGTTGATTGGCTAAACTGAGGGGCGTGAGAGCAGACCACCACAATGACATGTGATTAGGGAGGAATGAACCTTTGACACTCACACACACACACACACACACACACATAAGACACACACACAACTCCCAGACGTCTTAGTGAGGATTGGTGACTGCATTCCTCAACACGATCACCATGGTGACGTCTCACGTGAGACACACACACACGCACACACATATTGTGGATTCAGTGACATTGTTGTGACTTTTCAGTGTCATGTGGCCGCCCTGAAGAATGAGCAGACTATTAAATGTGGATAATGTTTGACCTCCAGAAACAGATACGCTTAACCCCAGGATCTCCATAACCCACCTCCACCAGTTTATTAGTGGTCTTGGGTAATAGAAGGCCTTAAACCATGGGACTGTAAACTCAAAGACCCCGATGCCACCATAGCTGCAGCCCCCATCAATCACTTGGAGCTCCTCCTCTAACCTCTCCAAGTTATGTGTTCATACGCCAGTGGAGGATGGGGGGTTGGGGTCTAAATGTCTTGTGCCACGCGAGCTTTCCCACCAGTGAAATTCCTTCTTCTCCTGAGACTAACTGAGGAACAGATAGTGATTTTCCACACTCTTTGTTGGCTGCAATATGGTACAGAATAACAATAAAAGTTCCCATAAATATAAATTGTTGAAATGTTGATTTTCAATTAACCTCCTGCCCATGAGACATATACTGCTAGCACTACGGGAGAACTGAAATCTTAAATACAACATTACAACACAACAGTCTAGAAGTCCAATAATACATCTTAAATCGTCTCAAATCAGTACAAGGGTCTAACAGGCAGATAGTCTATTTGTTTTAATTTAGGCAAACCATCCTCAAAAAGAGGAGTAGGCGTTTACTCCACTGATTAACCATCACACTCCTGTCATATTGTCCGTGGACGTTTTAAAAAAAAACGATCAAAATCTCTGCAGCAGAACCAGAGATATTGTTATTTTTTATTTAACGGATTCTTCTTCCTTGTCAAAATCTACATATTCCCTTGATTAAAGTAAAAAAATGTATCCCAAACCAACTATGACCATTTCGAGGGCGTGTCAGAACTGCGGACCAGCAGATAGAGCTACTTGAGATATTTGGATGTGTTATGCTAGTAGCTGCTAATGTAGCCTTGAGTCTCTGTCCTTCTCTCTTCAGAATTAATTGAGCTGCTAGCCTCAAGCAGAGATTAGGATCGTGCTTCTGATGGTTTGTAACCTCACTTCTTTCTAACTCCATGCCGCCAGATTTTTTCCAACCAACACTGACTCACTTGAGGCAGTTTATCAGGCTTAGCGCAGCTCTCTCTGTTCACATAGGCAGTAGTACTCCCTAAGACCTGTTAACAGACTTTGATGTTTAATGTCAGTGGAGATCCCCTTTAAGGTCATGGAGAGTCTGGAGCTGGGTCACAAAGGCCAGGTCACCACTGACAGCCAGCAGACATTGTTGTAGTCGGCACGTTTTTCAAGGTTCAGATCTTCTGACTGAACCGGCACAATGAAAACAAACTTTTGGTTTTTATGAATAGAATCTGGATACATTTGCATGTTAGCTATCTGAATGTAATATGTTTGTCTCCTGGATGTATTTAAAAACTACAGAGGAGAACATCAACACATGAAAACACTGATACACACTCATTCTCCAGGTGTCCCTTTAACAGAGACACACCAGGTTAATTTTGAGGAAGCACTAAACATACTAAAATCTATTAGATTAAGCAAAATAGTCAGACACCTATACTGTAAAGTTATTATTCAAGTTGTCCAAGGGTGCTAGTAAACATCCATTAGATTTTGCAGTGGTACTTCCCAGTCCAACAATGATTATGAGCCACTTTTATTTTCACATCTTCATAAATTACCTCTATCTAAATTAAATCTGAGAATTATTAGCCATCCATCTGATGCACTCACCACTCTTGTTGCTCGTGAAGTTGCCATCTGTGATTATCACAGCTGATACAATGAGAGCAAAAACCACCAAAAGCAAGTCGCAGGTTGAATAAGACCTGCGATGCATTCCAGACAGTCTTTTGTGTTCAGCAATGAAAAAGGTCAAATTGGTCTCACAATACGGTGAATAAATCCTATTCAGATTTGCAATGTGGAGGTCATTGAACTCTGGAGACAATGAGAGCAGTGATGGAAAGTCACCGGATGCAGTTACATTACTTTTGGTTGACTTCCAGAGTCAAGCCACTGTAGTTTTCTGAGAACTTCGGTCGGTGTTTTTAGAATCGCTCGCTGTGTCTGTTTTTGTTGTTAAAGGAGTTATTGGCACACTCGGACTCCCCCCGCTTGTTTATCCATGGAAAGACTGCCCCCTTACTATTGTTTGTTTGTCTATATTAAACCATGTGAAAGAGTGTGTGCTTGTGTGTGTGTGTGTGTGTGTGTGTGTGTGTGTGTGTGTGTGTATGTGTGCTTGTGTGTGTGGGTGTGTGTTTGTGTGTGTGTTTGTGTGTGTGTGTGTGTACCTGTATTTGATTTGTCAAAGATGTTCATTGATATTCTACGTTCAAATATTCCTTAAAGTGAGTGATACTGTGCGTATGTTTCTCCTCATGCGTGTCTCAGTGTGTGCTTCTTCCCTCCTTACGGTGAGTGTGTGTGCCTTATGTGAAAGTGATCCAGAGGATTGTTTGTTTCTCCCAACTGTGTTTGTCCAGCGAGCTAATAATAGGACTCTTTCATTACGGCTCCTTTCTGTAAGACGAAGACGAGAAGGAAGAGGAGGAGGGGACGAAATCGTAGCCCCTCTCTGCCCGTGCTGCCAAAAATCACAGCACAGGCCTCCAAAGTAAGCTCTTTCTAGGAAACCCAGCTCTGTGAATAGCCCATCAGGGGGGCCATTTTAGGTCAAAAGCGGGGAATGCTGATCCAGATGCATCCAGAATTCTTGATTAATATGGCTGCGGCAGTCTTCCCTGACAGTATTTTGGTATGGAACTGCTCTCTTTTTAACAGTGAGGAGTACAATTAATGACAAGTCCTCACATTTATCTCTAGGTTTCTCTCCCTAAAGCTTAAAAAAAATCAGTGTGCTCTCTCATTTCTGGCTAAATCTGTCATGTGACACCAACCACTAAGGGATAAAATAGTCTCAGGTTACTGTACAGGTCCTGGCAGCCTCCTCATTGTTTCTACAACAGCAGAGATAGGGGGCACTTTTGTTTTTGCTTTTCGACCTCCAACTGTCCCTCACCGTTCCTGGACGTCACACTTACGCCCACTGAGTAACAAAAACATGCCGGTGGGAGATCCAGATGCCCGCGACTGGTTCCCACAGTCCTCAATGACACCAAGTGAACTGAGATTTCTCTGAAACTGCCACTGAATATCTTTAACAGACGTGCACTTCACAAGCCATACTCCTCAAAACGGTACTGCTGACCCCATTGTGTAAGAGGTGTTACATAAAATTCACATGACTGCATGGGAAGTGCTGAGACCTCCAACCTGAACCACAGATGGGCAGAAAAGGAGGGAACCAATAAAGAGAGAGGACGGACACGTGGATATTACTCCCACAGTAGCTGATTGAAAGTCTCAGTGGGGTCAACAAATGCTGAGGAAATGGTGATGGCTGTGGAAGAGCGTGAATAGAAATGATTGTGCATGCTGTTTCTTACAGTAGATACGGGTGAATAGCATAGCATAGCAAGGTTCAGTATTTAGTTGATTTTTGGCCCGCTGTACAATAAGGAAGGATTGACCCTGCCCAAGATGTCACAAAATTAAGAAGGGGTCTTGTTGATCTACATTTAATCTACTCAAATCCACGTTCTGTCTCTCTGAAGAACCATATCATAGGTGCTCAGTTTGACCAATCAGACTGGTTTCTGTAAAACTTGTCCTCTGGCTGGCCAGCTGAAAGATGATGTCACAAGCCAGCTGTCCATCCATGTGAGTGTGGCCAGCTGTTGTACATTATGTAAACCCAAAGACACTGTAGACCATTGGAGACCAAATGGCTCTACAGGCTTTGATGTGATGTGAGAGCAGCTCAGGAGGTCTGTTGGTCCGTCTGTCCACACGTCCGACCATGGGCCTCAGAGGTCAATAACGCTTCAGTAGCAAAACAATGTTGGTTTAAGGTATTTCCAGTAGCACAAGGTCAGTTATGCAACCAAACTGTAGTGCAAAGTGACAAGCAGGCATTTTCATGAGGTCTGTAACTCCTTTCTGTTCAGTCTGAAGCATCAACACAGTTACTGCAGTGGGAATTATGTGCAATGACGATGCATTCATGAGACGTTATCAGCCACCTGCCACTTTCTTCTAAAGCAGTACCTTGTGTAAACTAAGTAGTAAAATACATAAACCACGCCTTGTTTTAAATTGTTTTTTTAACTATACTCTATATGACTGCAGTGGGAACCAAACCAGGAAACTCCATGTCCATCCTCTCATCTGTGTGTGATTCAGGTAACTGGGGAGGAGTATGTTCACAGCAGACCACCCTGCGTAACGGTCAGACCTCCACCCTGAACACAGGTCTAGTCACAATTCAGAACTACGGACAGTTCCTGCCTCCTCGACACGTCCAGCTGACCCTCGCCCATGAACTCGGCCACAGCCTGGGATCTCCGGTCAGTCCCCATAGTTTACTAAAAGCATCTGTCTGACACTACACGAGGAGACAGTCTACAAAACTGACTCAATCAAACCAAAAATTCAAAATTAGAGAGAATATTGCACAGAATTTATACCACAACCTTCCCTTGATGATGTAAATTGTTAAGATAGTAGCAATAATACCAGATTTTAAACTTTATTATAGTGTGTATTCAACTCTTTCCACCCTAAATCCACATATTCCTATATTTGTGAATATGTCAAACTGTAATGATGATGTCATGTACAGACAAGTCCTGGAGCGGCTCCTCAGGGAGCGGATAATGGAACAACTTCGGGTCTCCATAACAACAGTGGTGATTTCACTGGAATATGACAACATCTCGTGAAAGTGGGATGTATTATTAAATTTTTTTTTGGTACACCAATCCAACAAAAACCTAATTTATTCACGTTTTGATGATGATTCAAAGTTTAGGGAGACAGATACATACGTACCCAAAGTCGCTGAAATTGTGCAATGTAGCATGTGTTTTAAGGTGGATTTTCCCTTTTTATTATTGTGCATTAATAGCAGTTTATAGACACATCACTGGTAATGAAATAGTGAATGCAAAAAAAGCCAAACTTTTGTGGGTGTTTTAGGAGCTACTGCAGGCCTATGGCTTTATCTACTTTTCTCACAGCAGACATTTTAACTTTCCATAGCAGGAAATTCACAAGTGTAGTTAACAAAGTTATCTGAGGTTCTGGTATTGTGAAAAAGACTGTTTAACTGATCAGTTTACCAGGCACTCAAATAGATTAAAGCCATTGTTAATGTTATTAGTTACACTTGTGATTTCCTTCCATAACACGTCAAAATGGCTGGTGTGTAACAGGTCTATTCAGGGCAAGTTTAAAAAAAGAAAATCCTCCCAAAACACAGTTCACAATACAGCTCAGTGTAGTATTTCAGTCTGTTAAACTTAACCAGTTTTACCCCGAACCCCTTCTGGTGCCCCAACACTTTGTAGTCATACATAAGACTGTGTGGTACTGAATGATAATTCGACATGTCGAATCTCTGCGATTCAAAGTTTAAACTTACCTCACATATTCTCACAAGGCATACATGGCTGTTTGCACTGCACCAGAACAAATTGTCTGTGAATGATTCACTTATGTGGGCATTAGGGACCTTGGCCTTTATTGACTGGCTTGTTTTATAGAGATTCTTGGCTCAGCCTCACTGGATAATCTGATTTATTTTTCTCTTTCTCCTCACAGTTATTCTCTGTTCTCTGTAAGTAATTTAGTACATTTACTCAAGTACTGTACTTGGCTTGGGACCTCTTATGTAAAAGCAGTACCTGTCTGGGACCTCTCATTTCAGATGTATGGGTGTGTTATTAGAAGTTCCACAAACTCAAGAATTTCCCCTATAATCTTCTCAGATGGGTTGAAGTTGGCCAAAAGAAAGAACTTTTTTAATAAAAAAAATTGAAAACAGATTTATTTATCAGAACTTTATTTTTTTTTTCTTACCTCACAGATTGATCATCACACGACCCCTTCGATTTATGCTATGACCCTTTGGAGGGGCCCAACCCTGAAAACACTGGAGTAAACTAGCTAAAAGTAGTTAAAACCAGCTTAACTTTCAGCAGCTACAACAGTAAAATGCTGCTCACACATTGATGCATCAGTATTAATATAATAATGTCATACATAATAATCTCACATACAGTAGCACTTTTACTACTTACTACTAGATATATTTTGCTTATAATACAGCTAAAAATAGTTTAAAAACTGGGAATGAAACAGTCTCAATGTAATACTGATGCCTCTGTATGACTACATTAGCTATTAAGATTTACTATTTTCATGTAGTTATTCTTAATGCCTGCCACCGGGTCGAATTTGGTCTGATTCCCCTTGAAATCAATGAAACAAGGCAAACACTACCACTTTTGTCCACGAGGGGCGCCAGAATCAACACAGAATCCAACCTTGTTGCTGTTTTAAGTGAAGGATCTGAGTACTTCTTCCACCACTGTGACCCACGGCCTAAAGCAACACACAGCTTTTGTATACATACAGATGCATGCCATTTCTCTGCATGTGTGACAGCTACTAACACCTGCGACCTTTCTCCCACTGTCCAAAATGCCAGCAGCGCTCCTCAGACTCTTTTCACCCTGCCCTCTGTTATTCACACTTCCACACACCAAAGACTCCTCTGAGGCGTTCCTGAGCAGATTAGTTCTGCTATGTCAGGCCCTGCAAGCTTTCTATAAATCAAACTACCGTTAAGTTCTCCTGCTCCTGCGCCTGGTGCCCTGGCTCCTGTGACAGGCATGTCTCATTGTTTCCAGGCCGGAACAGGCTGGAAGAAGTGCATGAAGAGATCTGAGCACGGGCTTCACCTGAGATTTGTGGGATGCACGGTGGTGGACAGAGAGGGGTGGGCTGTGATGCAGAGTGAATTCTGAGTAGAGAGCTGCTGACCTTTGGCCTACTTCCCTTGCAACCATACATAGATACAGTGGCTTTCAGAACCGTGTGCATCAATTTGCTGCTCAGGTGAAAGATAAATTGAAATACAGTAAATAGAAATTAGTTTTTTTTCTTCTTTTTTTTGTTATTCTGCCGCATTTTGTGCACATATAACTTCAAAATTAGAGCAACAACTAACAATTACTTTTTAGGGATTTACTTAATCATAAATTAATCGATTAATTGTTCCAGCTCTAATTGACATTTATAAATTGTTCAAACAAACAGAAATTAAATACATACAAAACACAGTACGGTCCTTACAAGTCACAACATCAGATTTCAAGACTTGACTGAACTCGTTTTCCCTCCGAGGCAGAAAAACTTCCAATCATTTGTAATGTTTCTTGATGGGTTTATCTTAAAACTGGATCTAGGCTTTGTCTGTGGTAACAACATCTGTAAAATCCCTGCAGGTGTTCAAGAAGTAAACAAATCTGCAGATTGACAGAGTACAGTATACTTTGCTGTTCATGGTTTTTGTTGCTTTTGTGACTGCAGCAGTGAAGGCTGCGCAGTAGAACTCGCTACTAGTTTTAGTCTAAAGTCTGAAGGCTTTTGAGCTGAGATAACACAAAATAGCTGAAGAAAGAGACCAAGACATTTCAGTGGAAACATAAATCAACGCTAAGTAGGCTATAAAATTAGCACTCATTATATCCATCAAACTAATGAAGAACAGATGCTGAAATACACACATCGAAACATGGTCCTCGCATGTGTCCGTGTTAATTTCAAGTCTACCCCTTGGTCTCTTAATTCACCAGTGAGTTTGACATCCAGGGAACACGAGTTCCAGATAATATTTCACAAATACATTTCTGACCAAAGCGGGAGGAGCTCTCTGTTCTGTCCTCACTGTCCCACAAGTGAAACACGACATTCCTCGGCTGTTTCAGGGCCATCAGATTCCAGGGAAATCTTTTGACTGCATAAACGTTTTATTTGAAAATACGACAAAGATAATTTTAAAAGTCAAGGTTTTTGCATTTTGCCCATTTAGAAGGAGCTTTTATTTGATATTACAGGCATCATCTTTCACTGAAAAACATTTTTACTGTCTGCAATGACCTATTACAAGCTACTAAGATCACCAATAAAGGGACTTAATCCCCTTGTCTGGGATTAGGATGGAAACTAATGCTTTGAGCTTGGTTAGATCATTTGTTTCCCCCTGCTGTTTTCTGTCTACAGCTGAGTGCTTTAAATGGAAACATCCAAATACATGCTTATTCCATGTGCTCAGCCTCAAGATACGTAACTTACACAGGAAAACATATCGTTTAAAAGTCAACATCTACGTATTTTGTCTCTGATAAAGCACGATGAGGGCTCAAACTGCGGGAACCTTGGCTCCACCGGCGGTAAAGGCAGGTACCTGATGTTCCCTCACGCCACAGATGAGGTTCGTGAAAACAACGACAAGTTCTCGCCCTGCAGCATCAAACACATCAGCAAGATCCTGAAGCTGAAGAAGGATGACTGCTTTCTGGGTGAGACAGAAAAGATCAGACAGTGTCCATCTGCATGTTGTCGTGCGGAAATGTTTACACTTTGGATTAGTCACTGTAAATAATTCGAATTTGTTTGTCTTTCAGGGTATGTTTGTGTGTGTTTACTTGTGTGCGTTTATGTTTTTTTGGCCAGTCAGCAATCAGCCCATCTGTGGAAACCAGATTGTGGAGGAAGGCGAGGAGTGCGATGTTGGTCAGAACGACACAGACCTCTGCTGCTTCAGCGCCAGAGAACCTGTAGGAGTCCAGTGTCGCCTCAAGCCTGGTAAAGTCTGCAGGTACTGTACACAGAAACACAGAATACAGGATAGGATCTAAAATATCATCTAAACTATTTTACTGACGTTCTGGGCATGTCCCTTACGGTGGCTGACAAGGGCAAACGCGCTGCAAACGGCAAAACGCTGCCAACACAGGAATAATGCAAATCCAAAAACACACAAACACATAAAACAAATCCAACAGAAAAACGCAGCAACAGAAAAATGCTGCAATCACAGAAACGAAGCAGAAGCAAAAACTTACAAACCCACAAAACAAATGCCAAAGAAAAATGCTGCAAATACCAAAAACACACAAAACCCCAAAACAACTCCAAGAGAGAAAACGGAAGTGCGCCAGGCCACTAGGGGACCCGACCTGAGGGATGGACCAGTCCTGTGGGACCAAACCCGAAAGACATGAAGAAGAAGGAGAAGAAGAAGAAGAAGAAGACAAAAAAAAGACATAAAGGAAAACGTACCTTTTTACTGTCCTCTCCAAAACTTAGCCAACTTTCTTTTTCTTCTTCTTCTTCTTCTTCTTCTTCTTCTTCTTCTTTTTCATGTCTTTCGGGTCTGGTCCCACAGGACTGGTCCATCCCTCAGGTCGGGTCCCCCTAGTGGCCTGGCGCACTTCCGTTTTGTGGAACGTTTGTGTGTTTTTGGATTTGCATTATTCCCGTGTTGGCAGCATTTTGCCGTTTGCGGCGCGTTTTCTCTTGTCGGCCACTGTAGTCTTTGTTTTGTGGCTTTCATATTTATCTCTGTGTGTATGATGTCTTCCTCCATCAGTCCGAGTCAGGGCCTGTGCTGTGGTCAGGACTGTGAGTTTAAGCTGGCGAGTCAGACCTGTGATGAGGAGACAGACTGTCAGAAAGAGAGCGTGTGTTCAGGCCTCTCCCCGCTCTGCCCCGAGCCAACAGCCAAGGAGAACCTCACGGTCTGCAGTGAGGGCACGCGTGTGTGCCTGAGCGGGGTGAGGCAGCCTCATCCACCACCACGCCACAATACGGTTCAACTACATTGCCCAACAAGCTAACGTTTCAGAGTTTATTCTTGACCAATCTCACCATGAGGTCTATTTAGTAGCTGTTCTAGAGCTTTCAGTCTTATCCCATGATCTTCAACAGCAGATCTATGGAGGCCACCATGTTGAACCGCCATTTTTCTACAGTAGCCCAGAACGGACAAAAGCTGTAGATAGGGCCTTTCACGTTTTTTGCCAGTTATCATTTTGCCGACCATGCTACTGTGATTTAAAAAAATTTAAATTGGATAAATACAATTTAAAAAACTCAAATCAGTCTGTTTATCACAGAACAACAATGTAATACTGACACAAATCAGTACAGACTTGTTGTAGAACGTTCCCTCTGGTGGATTACACAATTGATTTTTACCACAGGGTGTGTAACTACACTTTGACATCACTATTGTGAGTGGTTACAGGGGTTCGCACCAACCACACACCTTTCATTGATTCTGCGTGTGGTCAGAGGTGTAACATGAAATATTCAACCAGGAAGGGCAATGAAACACTGCTGTTCAGTCTGGTAAAGAGTTATAACTATATAATTATAGAAAACCTGCACACCTATCTGAAAGTGACCATGGCATTAATACCTACAAGCATGCTCTTGGTTTATTGTGGTTCTATTTGCTTCAAAACAGCAATTTTGTAAAAAATACGTTCTAGCTATTCATAGATAATTGTTTTCATGTTATTCAGTGAAACTGACTCAGTGCCATGTCGAGTGTTTACTGCTTATATATCAAGTAATATGAAACTGATAGTGTGCTGGTTTCAATCAGATGCTTCACTGTCCAAGTATGCCCACGATCCACTTCATTTTTAAAAACAAACATACCATTGCAACACAGCAGTACTAACGAGACAATCATGTGATGCCATAAAAGTTTCATCTTGACCAAATTTCCTCCATTGTTCAACGTCTTCTGTTGGTCCTCTGAGCAATTTATTCCAGCTGTGAATGTTGCTTCATCATATGGTGTTGATATATTGCTCTCCAGAGGTGCTAAGTTTGTTAACCTCTGACGACCTGGTCCAGGAGCAGGGAACATAATAACTGGAAAAGACTTTTGAGTGGGATGTGGGAATGCAATAATCCAAGAAAAAGGATCCAAAAAATGAAGGTGGAGTTTAAGTTTTAGTGTTCAAATTAATCATAAATCGTTTTAAATGACACACACTGTTCCCTTCACTGAATGGTGAAAACATTCTTAGAATCAAATGAACAGAAACCAGGAAAACAGGCTCATCTGTACAAGTAAAGTCAAAGCCAAATTTTGGTTCAGTTCTTAAAACACTTTTCTATTTCAGATTTTTGAAGAATATAAACTAAAAAAAAACACATGTTGGATCCAGATTACTCACATTACAAAGTAAAGATGAGTTTGTCCAGAGTGTGTTCCCAAAATGTGGGGAAATAATGAACTATTTATACAATATTTTATTCAACCTTTTAAGAAGGTTTTTATTACCTTTTGTTTTTTGTTTTTATTACCTTTTGTTTTTTGTTTTATTAGCGTACCTTTTACCCTATCCAGAACCACAGATGTTTAAACCGTTTATTGATTGTGATATAAACAGGTTTATCTTACCAATTAATTGTTGATTGACATAAATTAGAGAAAGTCCAGACAGTGCCACTATTTCCTATAAAGTCTTCTTTCTAAGGAATGTCTGTGGTTCTCTCTGCAGGTCTGTGCTGAGTCTGTGTGTGTGAAACACAGGCTGGAGCAGTGTGACTGTCCAGGAGACTCCGTGAAGGAGAAATGCCACATGTGCTGCCAGCAGCCTGGTAACTATAGTCCAATGTGTCCTCTACTACGGAGGAATGTGTTTACACTTTGTGTCTCAACACGTCAGCCTGTGTCAATTTGTACAGAGGTTACCCTCGTACATCATTGTTTTCCATTAAACAACCTCAAAACTACCTCAGGAGACATGATGATCCGTGTACAATGTATAACATGGGGTGTTTTGTTGAGCTTGAGCTTTGAATATCACATTTTGCAAAAGTCAGTTATGGTCCTGGATGCTTTGGTGCACTAGAAGTTTACTGTGTTTCAAATTCTGTACACAGTGGCTTTAAATAGCTAAATGATTTTTTATTTCCTGTGTGTCTATGGCAGGTAAGCCTGAGACATGTGCCAGCACCACCTCCTCCGTGCTGTCCCGTTACTTCCAAAGAAACGCACTGCCATTGGTTGGCGGGGCTCCGTGCTCAGGGAACCAGGGTTACTGCGATAAATTCCACATGTGTCGTCTACTGGATGCAGACGGCCCCATTGCAAGACTGAAAAACTCCTTTCTCCATTTGGATGACTTCGATGACATAGCGGAGTGGATGAAGGTGAACTCTTCCTACAATTAGTGTGATAACATATGCATACATAAATGTCATAGGATGTCACAGAAGAAGTACAGCTAATAACTAACAGATGTTTTAACATGAAATGAAACTAAAAGAAAAATCAGTTCAGACTCCTACAATTCAGTTAAAGCGGCTGTAGTCAATATTTTTATAACAATGTATCAAATGACAATGTGAAAACAGCGTGAAAGGAGGATTTATCAAAACATTTGTTATTTAATCAAAAGTAAAACCAATATCAAACCTAGTTTTCAAAGCAAAAATAACTTAGTTAGACAGAACACAAAGCAAATTTAAGAGGCAGCACATACGAAGTCAATGGAAAGATGCTATTAGATGCAACTTTTCTGGCGAACACCTGCTAAGACACGTTTGTTTGAGTTGAAAATGTTTCAACTTGAACGAAAACGTTTTTGTGTATCAAAGGTTTCATTAATATGCTTTATACAGAGGTTAGATAGCTATAGCTAACTTACAGTTTTACATAAGCTGTTTGGGGGATATAAACACAAGCAGCCTAACACTCAAATTTGCACAAATGATGCAAGCCGAACATTCACGTTGACGTTTCAAAAGTTGACTTCGTAAGATAATTTAATATTCTCATGTGGTCTGGTGTGACCCATTGCTCGTAGTAGCTAATGTTAGCAACCTTTAGATATGTAGATTTTGCCATGTAACTTAGTAAGCTGACTCTATGACTCTTCTCCACTTGAGCAACTGTACCAAACTACAATTTAGTTGTCACATATTGCCACAGTGGCTGTTGTTTAGGAAAAGTTGCATAATTTCACTTTAAAGGCTCCCTGTAGTATTTTTGACCACTGGTGGCACTGTAGAGTAATGTTTTGATGAGCAGGTCCCACTATAGTTTAAATCTGTTGTACATTAACGCTAATGCACAGGGTGGAAACAGCTGCAGGTGATAATGTATCTAAAAGGGAGCAATTTGCCAAAAAATGCATTCAACATGTTTGTTAAGCCTACAGGATGCACAATTTAGTAAATAAATCTGTATTTGTTTACAATGAAAGCTCCACAACTTACACCACATCATTGTTTCAGTTGCCAAAACCCTTTAAAGGCCTAATCCTAAACTTTAATGAGTTGTTTTACTTTCTTTCACTTCTTTCTTTAAGAAAATACTGTCTAATTAATTGTATAATACAGTGCTTGAGTATGATTTGTTTTGATCAGATTATGAGGTAAATTGACAGATGTAATAACTTAACTCAAGGTGACCCAAATTACTTGATCAATGGTTTTCAGCTCATTGTAAAAAAAGGTTATTTACTTAAGCCTGTGGCTATGGTTGAGGACGCCATCTTTGTTAAGATGCAGCAGATGTTCCCCTGAGGTCTCATCTTCAGCTTATGGTGTTTAAACTTACTGCATTGAAGTTCAGCTGTCTGCAATGTTTCAGTCGTAGCCGCTTTTGACTTTTAGTTTCTCATGACAGCATGGAGAATCAGGAATGCCCATTTGGGTTGAAGAGTACCTCTTAGGATCGTCCATCTGTTTCACTGGAGACAGAAATGACCCCTCACTTCAGGAACCATTGTGTTTTTTACCAAACCTGCACCTCTGACTCATTTTCTATCGTGCAGAGCTGCAGAGTCATGACCTGTTTTTGTACACCAAAAACAAAACAGTTATTAAGTTCAGCCAAGAATATGACACCAAATACATGACATCAGTCTATTTAAACTGCCACTGGGGGTTAAAATGAACCTAAAATCAAACTTATTGCCGACTTTCGTGTGGTTTGCTGCTCACAGATAACAGCACATACTATGTGTGGGGGAACCTTGTGAGTTGAAAGAAATTATTGCACATGGAAATAATTCTTAGGTTTTGACATTTTGAATTAGGGCTGCAACAATTAGTAAGTTAATCAATTAATTAGTTGTTATGGAAAACTATTTTGATTTTCATTTCAGTCATTTTTCAATCAAAAATGACAAAAAATCTCCAGGTTCTCTTTTTTTAATGTAATTTTAAATGAAAAATGTTAATCAGACAAAACAAGACAGGAAGACGTCACATTGGACTGATGATGGACAATTTTTGTGATTTTTTAAAACTTTTTTAAAACTTAAAATACAATTATTTTCTAAACTCAATATTTATATTTTTATCAATATTTATTTACACTGGTTGTCATTTATGTTGTTTCTCCACTTGTTGTCACATTTCAGCTGTTTTATTTTTTGTAGCATTCCTCAATGGAAACTTCTTTTTTGTTTTTGTTTTTGCAAAATTCCTGTTTTACAACACAATGCCACAACAATTTTGAAAGGTCTGTTCCACTTCCCATCACCCAAAAAATAGCTGCAAGATAATGAAGGAAGCTGATTTTTAAGTTTAAGTTCACTACAAAACATTATTTGATTAGCAGGACAAAACCATCCAAACTTACATCATATCGCATTTAACTTATTAGAGATCATATTCAAATGTAACATTCGTGCAATATTTGTATTTATCCTCTGCAGGCTCATTGGTGGGCCATCCTGCTGGCTATCCTGACTGTGTCTGGAGTGATGGGCTGCACCGTCTGCCTCTGCGGCCGCACCCTGGACTCCAGTGACCTCTGACTTTTGATCCCTGTCCCCTCTGGGAAGTATCATGTTCGCATGATGACGCACAAATTAAATAGGAATTTTTAAGTGTCATGGTCACACTGAAGAGAGCCTCAACTTTGTTCCACATAACAAACAGTGTGTGATCTGCAGGTTGACCTTTGAAGACAATTACACCTGCTCAGTGCCGCTCAAGCTGTTTTTGCTCACTCATGTCTTTGTACGTCATTATGCATCTGCCATTTTCTTTTCCTTGTGTGACTTTTCTGTTCACATTTCGACAAGCAATAAAGATCTCCTGTGATGCATGTGTTGTGGAAAACATTGCTGTTGTTGCCGATTGTGAGGTCAGTCAACCCCCTTAGAGGCCACATAGCATCAAACACCTATGACAATTTAAAGTGGTCCCTGCAAATACTGATGGGACTTTCCCTTATTTTGCTATGCAGTGTCCTCGCTGTTGCATTTGAACTTGAGCGCTAATTTCAGCTTTCTATGCCTTTATCAAGTGGAAATTGTTAGTCCTCTTGACATGACCATTTACCTAAACTCTTTCAGGAAAATGCCATTTTTATTGCATGTTTACAAAAAAATAAGTTAGTAAATGTTTGTCATCTTAAAGAGTATTCGTTTACCTTTTATTATTGACAGCGGTGTGAAGTAACTAAGTACTTTTACTCAGGGACTGTACTTAAGTACAATTTTGAGGTACTACTTTTATTTCAGAGGGAAACTGTACTTACTGTTGTACTTATTCCACAACTTGACAGCTATAGTTACAAATTACCTAAAGATTTTAGATTAAAGAGTTTCTCCTCTAAACTTCTCCAAGGTCCAAAGAGGTCGAATTATCCAATACTTCAAAAAAACAGCCAAGATTATTCCCTTCTGAGTTGCAGAACTTTAACTTGTAATGAAGTATTCTTCTATTGTTGTATTGGTACTTTTACTAAAAGGACCAGTGTGTAGGATTTAGAGGCATCCAGCAGTGAAGTTGCAGATTACAACCATTTGAATACAGCTCGACCTCCTAAACATGTGGCTGCAAAACTCAAGAAAAATGCAAAAGGCCCTATCTAGAGTGTCCTAGGCTACTGTGTAAACATGGCCGCTCCCTCTGTAGATGAAAAGGTTCATTCTAAGGTAATGAAAACATGAATATTATAATCCATTTCTGCCAATAGATGCTCCTAAATGTTACACACTGGACCTTTAAGTTAAGGATCTCCCACTCCTGCCACCATTAATGATAAACATGTCATAACTAAAAGGGATATTTGGTGATGAATCTGGAATGAGTCTATCTCTTGGGTCACCTTGACACAGTCAGCCGAACACAATGGCGTCACAACTTCAAGGACATGAAGAAATCACAGAGCTTATTTAGTGAAATTTAACCATTCCAAGCACTTTTATATCAAAAACAGATGTGAGAATTTAAATATATAATTGAAATAGTTGAAAATATTTGGAACAAACAAACATTTTGCACTGATAATAAATGAAAAAAGGAATAAAGAGCCTTGAGCTGGTAAATGTGTCTGAAAACAATGGAACAGTTTTATGATTGAGTTTGAACAGTTTTTAAATCACAAGCCTATAATCAATAACAGGCTCAGGATCATGTTTCTGATGGCAATTTTTGTTTATTAAAGAATTTACACAGTACAGTGAATATTTACAAAAGATTATAGAAATGCACATTTTACAGATTAAATTCGTCCAGAGGTAAAAATATACAACTAACAGTGTTCCATACTACAAAATCTATCATCTGTATAATGGTATTTACATAACTGTACAAGTAACTTGGTTTAACAATCTCTTCCCCTGTTTTCAGTGCAAAAGTAAAACATTTCCACATTTGTCAAGTAGGTGGAAATGAAGTCACAATGATTACAGTACCGATCTCTACAGAGCCTCTCTAAACGTTACATATTTCTTACAGAACTGGAAATGTAATTATGAATAAAAGAGCATTAGTCAAGATTTAAAAAGTCACATGCACAGAAGAAACTCAAGATAGACAGCACAACAAAAGGACAACACTGATATTAACTGTGCCTTCTACCTCACAATGAGCATCACGTTCCTCAACAAATGTACCCATTTTAATAGAACTAAGGTAGACAAAATGTCTTCTTTGAGGTAAAAGTGTCAAAGTAACATCTTGCAGAGGTGTAGCAGTAAAAAAGTGTTTAAAACACAAACGACTTTTGCATGTTCAGAGGTTTCAGTACAAGTTCATAGAACGACAATAACATAGCACACTGAGGTGAAAAACAGCAACAAAAGCGCCAAGGTAAGACAATTTGCAATAACTTACTTGTGGCGACTGTTTACAATAAGGCACACTGATACAGGTCCCACAGTCACATACAGTGCTGAGAGCCACAGTGGTGAATGCTCTAGGTTAGGTTATGTATTATTCAGATAATACATAAAGGTAGATAAAGTATAAGTGTACCCTATTGCATAAAACACCTAAAGAAATTCATCTTAATGGTTACGTTCCCCTCTTTTTGAGAAGAGGCCACAGACTGCAGACCTCCATGGTCACCAGGAGGACAGTATCCTTCACAGTGGTTGGTATAAATATGAAATTTAACTTGAGGTATTTTACACAATGGGACATCAGTACCTGCAGAAGGTAACATCTCAGTATGTGAGGGTCTGAAGTGAGTTTGTATGTATCCATCTCTTTGGAAACGAAAGCTGCACCAAAGATGACGGCATTCACTTTTTGTACAACACTGAAGTTACAGATACGTGTCATAAAAACAGCTCTTTACAAAATATTTTACAGTATTCACATACATATTGTTTTAAATAACAAACATACTTTTGTGGATATATACAAGGCAGTGAGAGTGTTGTATAATTTGAGAAATAAAATAAGTTACAGGTGTATAAATTATTTACTAAGTGCTGAATGGACGGAGGGGCGTCCAACAGTGGAGTCTCTTCTTTAAGGTCAGTGGTTCTCAGTGGTCAGAGTTATTCTGCAGAAAGAATTAAGTTTACTGTTAATTAATCAGCATTAACTGTGATGTTAATAGTAAACTTGGGAAACTTGCAGATGGTAATTTACCTTTTTGGAGTTCGTTTTGAGTTCCTCCTCCACAAATCCTTACATTTAACAAATGTGACCTCGTCTGTTAATTTATGAGCTTCGGGGTCTTTTACACAGAAAACCATCCTGAAAAAGAAATTCATAAAACACAATCAATATCTGTGAGCAAGTATCTTCATCAATGCTAAGCTAGGGGTTAAAGGTTGAAGTTTTTTCCTACTACTACAACTTCGACTACTCAAAATAATGATAAAATAGTGTGTTTTTTTGTCACATTTCCAATATTTTTAAATAACACCACTCACTTTTGTTGGGTCTCGCCAGCTCGGATGCGGATTTTGTGAACTTCCATATTAGCGTTGTCGGTGTCACCAGACCACCAAGAAGAAACCATCTTCAACATGTTGGAGGCGGACCAACCGTTTGTCTCCTCCCATTTAAACTTCAACATCAAGAGATCTCCGATATCTATTTCCGTCACTAGCAGGAATGAATGTGTCTTATTTGTTGCAATTTTCTCCTTTCTGCCAGACAGAAGTAGAGAGGAAAGTCAGTGATATTCTCATAGCCAGTAGAAATAATGTATTTAGCTTAGCCTCATAAACTCTGCACTATAAACCATGAAATAATTACACACAGCAAGACCAAACTTTGCCAAGTCTGTGGTTACATCAGAGTTTATGGTTTCTACCTCATGCTGTGTCCTTTGACTACTGTGCGACTGTTACAGAACAACTCATATAACTTGCAAGATGCAAGTCACAGTGCTGTAATTCCCCTTTATAAAGGGTTTTAAAAGGCCCACTCACAGTTTAAGCTCCAGGTTTTCAGCCTCCCCCTTTGTTCCGTACAGTGAGACAGTGAGTGAAGGCTCCATCTCTGAACGGTTAACTTTGCTGGAGAAGTGGATCTTCAGCTGATAGTGGTAAACTGTAGAAGAAAGAGCAACAAGTCAGCATCATTTAGGAAAACTTTAAACATGTAGGCTGCTGTAGTGAAACTGTTCCAGTTCAAATTTAGCTGGTTTAGCTGCAAGTGATCAGACTTTTGACGTCAAAGTCACCAGAGATTGAAACACTTTTGATCTCAGGGAGTCTTTAATTCCTTTTAAATCACTTCATCAAACATTTTTATCGGATTAGAACTAGCCAATGGAGCTTGTTTTGCAATATTATTAGTTCATCGTAAGTTCTTGGTAAGTAGGAAAAAAGTGCAACTTCCCAACAACCTGACAAAAGAAAAATGAAGACAAACAACGCCTCTTATTCGCGTTTATTAAGTCCACTGACCTCTGAAAGGCATGGAGGCTCGTGTCTTGGTGTACATCTGAACGTTGCGCGCCTTGCGGACCTTGCTGATGTCGTAGCCCACCGTGTTGCAGCGGCTTTTGCGGCAGCTTAGACACATCCCGCGGTTAAACATGTCGCTGCTGCCGCATCGGTAGGCCTTGGCTGCTTCCTGCTCGTTCAGCAGAGAGTCAATGAACAGGTGGACTGAGCGCTCGTGTTCACACTTCACTGCATCTGTGATAGCTGGAGAGGGAAGAGAGAACGATGTTTGATGACACGCATACATAATTATTTGAATATGTTACCTTTCCATTTCTTTACTATCCACATTTACTAGTTATCAACCTATTCAGTCAGACTGATATTAAATTTGACCTTTCCTCGGCCATGTTTGGGGCGCTCTGTTTGTTTTCAGAGTGCTGTGAATGGGGTCTTTGTGCAGCTGACAGGAACAATGTTCACTGCTGAGACAGATTAATGACAAGCAGCATGTAGCTACAGTGTTAGTGAACCTGCTGGACTGTGTGCTCTGTGTGCCTGTACTAATAATCACAAAAATCTGTATTGTAACCTGTTTGCAACAGATACATCATTGTCTAATGGTTGGTTATACTGGCTGTACTGCGTGTGAGCAGAAATGTTGAATAATGCCTTATTATTTGAAGCTTAAATAACTCTGGGGCTGTTTGGATGTTTAAAAACTGTTAAAAAGGACTTCATAACAGTTGTGGCTCTGTGAAACGAAAAAAAGGACATATATAAATATATTCTGCTGATTTGTTATTAATGTATATATATCACAATAACTGTTGTCTCACCGTATATCCCAAAGTTAGCGATCTTCTCCAGGGCCCCCCTGAGGTTACAGCCTGGCTGGAAGCTGCCTCCGTTTGGGTAAATGTCTACATGGCCGACAGGCTGCTGGATCCCGATGCTGAGGCCCAGGGAGCCCCGTGTGAAGGTGTGGAGAACGTCCACAAAGTGAGCGTCGTCAGGGGAGAGACGTCTGTGGGCGTGCATCCCCTCGAAGTCAGGACCAGCTGGGTCCAGACCTGCCAAGAGACAGCAAGAGGTTAACAGTGATTTTAACCACAATTAACTGAGCTGTTGATTTAATTTAACCAAATGTTATGCGTCAAAATGTTTGGTTTACCGGTTATTCTTCCGACTTTATTGGTTGCGTGGCTTCCAGCAAATCCTGCCACATGGGCCCCAAGGCTGTAGCCAATCAGGTGGATGTTCTCAAGAGGCATGTTGGTGGTTTCCTTTAAAATATGAAAATATGATTTCGAAAGTGAGACAAATATCCTTTTTACTGATAAACTAAACATGCACAAGTTTTTTTTATTAAAGTGACATCCTGTTACAAAGTGAATGTATTTTAAAACAGTGGATTACTACTGTGTTTACTACCTAGTTACTGTATCGGAACAGTACTATTTTACAATGAGTAATATTACGACAGTGTGTATAAGTTACTAATGGTTAATTAGTGGTGTCGTTCTACTAATGGTTGTCTATAAAAGTGTTTTGGTTAATTTTGGTAAGAGTAACAGCTTTATTAGTGACTCTCCAGTGTAAAAATACAGGTTTGTCTGCTGATTGGTGAGTAAGTGGAGAAACCCATAACAACTTGTAAATTAGGTTTTTTTTTTACTTTTACAGTTACATTTTAAGAAGTTGCTACTAAATGTTTTTTTGGCCTCAACGTTCTATCAATATTTAATAAGTTTTCTTTTAATGAAGAGGAAATGAAAAACTCCTAATAATGGATAGTGACTAGAATGAAACCTGTAATTTGTGCGTCATCTTTATTATGTTTTGCAGCTTTTTAATCTTGTTGTTATTGTTGTTGTTGACAAGGAGCCAAAATCTAAGAATGTCTCTTATACTTGTATAACGAGATGTAACAAATGAATCTTGAATCTCGAAATGTTGGCCCCACTGACCTCGATCCAGTCGATGAAGCGAGCGATCTCCTGTCCCACTGCTTTGGTGTTCTGAGCTGCCACCACATAGTGGTTCTGCGCCGAGGTGAGCCAGTCCACCACGATGACGTTGGCCGTCTGCTCTCTCTCATACAGCGCTGACACCAGCTTAGCCATCCAGCTTTCGAACAAACCACTCAACTGTTGAAGTGACAAACACATTAAAAGTTGAGGAAGAATTAGCTTAATGGCCACGATCTACAATCAGAGCCAGTCCACTTCATCTTAACCAGCCTGTTCTTTGGCATTGACACCAACATGCTGCTTCTTGTCAAGAGAGTTTATGGGAATTTGGGTAGACTTAATGGCACTGGAATTTGGTGAAATAATGACACACTACTAGTCACAGGTGTGTTTTTTCTAAACCAAAGAAAAGTCAAGTGAACAAAGCCTGTGGGTGTTTTAAACGTGGGGCAGGTCACAACAGGCTGAAGAATCTCCACTCACCGTCCATCCATGGATTACTAGGAAGGTTTTGGAGGTGCTGTTGAAGGTGCAGGCTGCCAGGGAGTCAGCTTTGCCAGGAACGATGTAACACAAGTCATCATCGGGATGGGACGGTTTGCGGAGGGAGAATTTTGCAACAGTTTGATTGCTCTCATCCTTGCGATCAAACAAGTCTTTCAGAGGGTCGAGGAAGTTGCCTGAAAGAGAGGAAGAGAGATAACAAATTAACTGTATGTTTTTTTTTCTCTCGTTTTTGTCAGATGTGTTAATCTGATTTAATGCTTTGGCTGGGCGGTCCGAGACGCCTGACTAGCTAACTGAGTGACTGGTTCCAATAAGCACTGGCCCCTCGGGGCCCCTCATCAAATGAGCTTCCACCGTAGACAAGATCAGCCCTCGAGGGTTATAGGGGTTCACTTGGTCAGACTGAGCTCCATAGAAACCACCAAGAGTTTTCCCAGCTTTGTTCCTGCCACCTCACCGACTATAATCTGCCCAAGTTTCAGTGGTCCTGACACAGTCAGCTGACTCAACTCAAATGGGGGTTGTGTTGGTTTTCAGAATTGGGGGTGGGGAGGTGAAGGCAGGAACCTCACAGACATTTACAAGGTTTGCATTGCAAAGGGTTCAAGAAGTTTAGGAGCCATATTGTAAACATTAATTACCTTAACTGTACTTTAATAACTCATAATTCATGTTAATATCATATATATGAAACATATCCTCTCATCCTGCCTCTCACAGCCAATAGTAGGTAGCAGAAGTTGGATATTCGCCAAAAACCACAAAGACAAGTTTAGTCATAGACAGGTGATACGTAGTATCTCACAGCGACCGTTAATGTTATTTTCAGAGTCCAAACTACACACACCCACACACACACACACACTCATACATACACTCATTACATACATTTCCTTCCTGAGCGTCTGCGCATGGCACACGGACTCACAGTTTTGCCCTCCAAAGCGAATCGCTGTGTGTCGGAGTAAATGTGGATGAAGTTTAAACTCACCAAAAATAGAATCGGTGAGCTCTTCTTCCAGGGACGTCACATACTGCACAGCTGCATTCAACACCACGAAGTACAGAAACCCAGCCTGCCACGCTTTCATTTCTTTTGAAGCTTTTTTCCCTTTAACTGTCTTTAACAATGGATTAAATGAATCTGGCCTCGGAGCAGAAGAGGGAGTGTATTCCTTCTCAGATTCAAGTCGGTGCGTCCTGTTGCGCACACAGCGCTGATATCTGAACCACCTTGAACTGTCCGCGTCTTAAATAGCACCTCTGACAAGCTATTGGCTGCTGACCCCCGGGCGGGGGAATGGAAAACTCTGTGTAAAGTGAATCATTACACTGCTTTATGAGAAGAGGTAACAACACTGTTTGGTTTCCTCCTGAAAGCCAGCAGAATTTACTATTATTGTTTGTAACTTCATTTAATACCACATAGACGCAGCAGGAGGGCTGTATATTACAGTACTGCTGCAAGACTAGTCCCTTAATTAGTTTAATTGCTTAATTCATTAATGTATTGATTGAATTATTACTCCACCAGCTGATTGCTGTAGAACTGCTTATTAATTAATTAGTTTAATTTGAAAGTAATACAAATCTTAGTTTTTAAACTAGTAAAATTTGGGAAATTTAAATGTAAAACAAAATCATAAACTCTGCAGAGGGTCTGCATGTTATTTTTAATATAAGTGCCTGCCAAACAAAACTGTAATAATAACAATACACTTTCATTTATATACAACATTTAATACAAATAGATACAATGCACTTTACAAAACATGGAAAATAGAAAAGACAAGAGTTAGAAACATTATAAACAATGTAAAAAGTATTTTTGAAAAACAAATTAAAGAGATTTTTAAAAAAGAAACAGTAAAAGTTTAAAGGTAAAAGCTTTGAAAGTTTGAAAAGATGTTTTTCTTTGTTTTAGATATTGCTTTTACTGTATTTCATAAAGTTCAGTATTTAGGCTGTAATCAGTGGTTAACTTTGAGACCTCTGGTTGTCAGTATTTATAGACAACTGTCTATACATTCTGAGAACAATGTGATGCAGGCTGGAGAAGCAGTCATAACCTTTTGAGGACAAACTAACAATATTTGTAACCTACATGACTGTTTTTCTCTCACATTCCAGGACGCAGGCAGCTTGGCTCGGGGGCCCCTTTTCACTGACCTGCTGTTGCTATGACATCAGAGAGCAGATAAGAGAGAGGGACTGCAGAGGAGACACAAACCTGCATCAAGCAGCGTCATCTCCAAAGTATGCTGAAAGTATCAGGTTCGAACTTCTTCTATCATTCTGTGTGCAATAATGAATAATTATAGGACATTAAACCGATGTGATAGTCCACTCCTATAACTTTGTCAGACTCACGATCAACCTTTATGCAGCAGAACCAGAGATATCATCTTTTTTATTCCACACATCTTTGTCAAAAGCTGGTGCCAAAATTACCCACAGTGCAACACGGCTGTTGAAAGTCCAGTCAGAGATTTTATTCTTTCTCAGACTTGTAGTTTTTTGTCCCAGCCGACTCTGAATCGTGTGAGTATCAGTATATCAGGTTTTCATTCATGCAGCTACCGACTTTGATGTTTAAAATGTTTGTTTCTGAATTTTAACTTTGAGTGTTACTTATCTATTCATAAATACTCATTGCATGTCAAATAACTATCTATAACTATATATATTAATAATGTATTGTATTATTATGAACGCAAATGTTACCTACTTAAATCAGGTTCCAGTTCTCAGACTCTTGGCAGACTCGACTCACCGGGTATCAAGCATCAGCAACAATTGGACGATGTGTATCACAATTTGTAATCAGTAAGGCATTCTTGTTATGAAACTCAAGTTCTTAGGTTTCATTACTTCAAAACTTTGACCTTTGACCTATTGCATGGAGAATTTCACTCACTTACTGTGTAAAAATGTTGTTACATGCCAGCTGGGGCTTATGTGCTATCAGTCGAGCAAGAGTAGTTGGCTTCGCAGCAGCTGATTTGTTGCCCAAAACTCCCGCACGAGATGCCAAGATAAACTGGGCAGGAGGCTGAAGAGGTGATGGTTGAAAAGCAACAAGCTAATTGCTGTGAAGGTCAATTGAACAGTAAAGTTCACAGGCATGGGGACACTTGTTACAACAAACTATTGACATAGTAAACACTGTAAATGTTTAAATGGTTCACCTGAACTCTGAACACATATATTTGGAACCTGCAGTCACTCCAAAATCAATTCAAATATCTTGTAATCATTTTGGATAAAAGCCCTTTGGATATATATGCAGTCTGTTTCATTGATGTACTCTGGAGTATAAAAAAACACAAGATCCAAGTTATTGACTCCTGCTTTTATTTGTGTTACCTGAGAGCATCGCACAGAACAGTCCAGCTCCCATATATTTAGAGGATTATTCACAATTAACTGAGAGTGTGTAAAAGGGATAGTTACTATTGGATGGATTACTATGAACATTCATGTTCCCTAGAGAATAAGTTCTTCATCAGATCAACATTTGACTTTGTCCAACTGGTTTATGACCAAATAACCTGCAAAACTAATGACACTCCCATCAGCCTCTGCTGTACTTTTTGTTTAGTGCTAATTAGCAAATGCTTATGCAACACTATGTTAGCATTGTTATTGTGAGCATGTTAACAAGCTGATGTTAGCATTTAGCTTAAATCGCTGCTGTACCTGCAACCTTTTTTAAATGAGGTGCCATTTTATAAATCAGTGTGTTTTTTAATCAACATAAAGATTCACATTAATTATGAGACCACATCAGAATTTAAATCTTCAACAGATTTTATTCCATCCATATAGGCAACATGCATAGCAACATTTTTCTCCCATGATCATTGTAATTATATACAAGAGCACTATACATGAAGGCCATCCTGAAAATATCCACATCTGAGTTGAACTCAAAACATGCAGCCATGAGGTGCTTTAATTAGACAGGCAGCACACCTGCCAACGGCTGCAAAAGAGGTAATTTGGCATGAGAGGGCACTTCAACATGTCCAAAAACCTCTTGCAAATGAAGATACAGATGTTTCATGTAGCACTAAAACTAACAGAACTGTTAAATTAAGATGTTCATCTACTTGTGTGCATAGGCCTATACAGAGTGTCATTAAAGATGATTACATATATCTGTTGAACAAATAACAGGTGGACTTGATTATGATTGTCACTTACTGTCATCCAGTCAGGTTTGGAGCATCTGAAGCCGCCCCTGATTAGGACGGACAGACGGACAGACAGACAGACAGACAGACGTCACGACCTCTGACACTATATAGGTGGACCCAAATGCACGACTCTGGCACAGACGAAGTTGTAGAAAAAATTCTATTTATTTTTTAAAAAAAAAACCTTTTGGGAGTTTAAAAAAAAAAAAAAAAATTAAATTTTTATTAAAACAAAGAAAAACCTGGACTCTGAACTACAACACTTGACAATACTCATTGACTTACTCAACACAACTACAAAAAAAAGGGCGGTCGTCTTTTGTGGAAAAGGTGAGTACAAAATAAAACAGGAAGGACTAACATGAAAACACTTAACATGACTAAACTTAACAAACTTGACGAGACACAACGATAGATAGATAGATAGAGAGAGAGAGAGAGAGAGAGAGATACTTTATTTATCCCGAGGGAAATTCAAAAACCTCTGAGCCTTTGTTCTTCTGAAAACAAAATCATAAAAACACATAAAATGTGAAGTTTAATTCAGTGTTGCTCTGCCACAAGAAGTATTGGAAGCTCTTTCTCTTCCTCTTAAACACACACACAAACACACAGGACATTGCTCCCCAAGCTGCCGGGCTGGCTTCATGAGCTTTTGCTCTTCTATGAACATGACAACATTTTCCTCGAAAAGCAGTGACTGCATTTGTTTTCCCACTACTGCCGTGGTCATTCAGATCCTGATGTTATTGTCTTCGCAAGAGGAAAAGACTACTATGGTGATGAGGAAGCAATGAAGAGTAGCGTGTATCAGATGCCAGACCTCCACAGCAGAGGTTTGTTGGGGCCAGCAGCACAGGACTCCTCCACAAAGTTTGGAGACAACACAATGTCTTGGATTTTATTTTACTTCCAAGACTTGTTCCCTAAGTTTATTTCTAGGAATGGCACATGATTCAGACTCACAAATACAAATGTGGGAATTCCCTCTGGTGTATCTTTCTTAAACAAAGCATATTCTGTGAACAGAAAGTAAACATTGTATATTGTACAGCTGTTTCTTATTGAAAAGTTGTATCAAGTCGAATTTAAACACACTGCAGCATAGATTTCTTCTTGTTTTATCCACAGATGACCTGAAAACTAAAATGTTTTTGTGAATCAGTACAGAGCCAGGCTGCAGGTCAGAGGCCGACAGGTCTGTGCAGGCTACTGAACAGGTTGTAAAAGTCATCTTGGTGGCTTCAAAATTCCCCTGACCACCAACAACAGAAAGTCATGAGGGAATGTTTCCACAGTGGCCACAGTGAGAAAAATGGGATGGATGCTCTCATATTTGTCCTGTAATGTTGTGTAAGCTGTAACAAATGTATTATTTAACTCTCATTTGTGAGACACAATTGTTCGATTATTGAGATCTTTCAGAGTTAAATGTGAGCTGTGGTGGCAGTTTGTTTAATAAAGCATACAAAGTATGATCTTGTCTTTCTGTAAGGTTTTATTCAAGTCATCCATGAATGGTCTCTACGCAACTGTCACACACTCGTATGTGAAAGTCCGAAAAAGCCGAGATTGTAAGAAGCAGTATGGTTTTATCCCTGTTGGAGCGTCACTCTAACACAGGAAGCATTTTTAGTTGCTCGTCATCCAATTTTTCCACTTCATTAACTTTGTCCAGATCCAAACAGTTGCTCAATGCCTTTTCTGCCTCTATACAGTCTAGTGGGAATCATTTTCAGAGAAACTAATCCACAAACTCGATGAAACAGAGATACAATATGTTTTTTTCTCAGTCATACAGTGGATTGTTTCAGCATTATGTAATATGTTTTGAATTTTTAGCAAAGCTGGCTTAGTGACAACAACCAGCTATAATCCTGTACTATTAAAATATGTTGGATGTGGCCTTTAAGTGGCTTCAAATGTTGGCTGATCCACAATGACCTTTGTGTTTGACGAGCATAACTGTTAACACGGTTATAAGCCAGAAGGGAGAGTAGTTCAGCATGCAGTAGAACAACATACTTAAAGACACTCTGTGGGGCTTTTCACCACTTGTGGCACTGCAGAGCAATGTTGTGATGAGCAGCTTCCCTTTACTGGTTGGTATGGAGCCTGATAAGTGTCTGAACAGGATGAATTTAGGTACAGTATGAAGTGGTCTCCCATATTTGGGCTCAGAGCACAATACACAACTGTTCATAGAGAAAATAGACTGTCTTCAGTGAAACGTGAGCTGTTAGGCAGCTGTATTGATTAAAATAGGAACTGATCTGTTCCTTCAGGCGTGTGTGACACCCAGAGACAGATCAAGAGGAAATCAAACAATGGCCATATTTTAAATACGAATTCAGAAAAGACAACAGACCAAATGTGAGTTGAGAATGTGAAAGACGCATTTAAAAAACAAGTTTTGGAAATGTGGTGTGAGGAAAGAAATGGATTCAATATGTTTCTACATTCTGTACATTGTGTTCTGAAACATAAAAATGTGACCACTAACAATAAAACCTCCACAGGAGACTTTCACCTCTGGATGTTGGTGTCAAGCTGTTCAGTGTGATTTTTGTTATATGTAACTGAATATGTGGTGTTTTTCTGAAATACTGCAAACGCCATTTCAGAGAAAATGAAGTTTATAACTATTAAAGTCTCTTTACAAGAGCTGGAGTCACATCTGTTTTCTCTCCAAGAGATTAATTCTATTCAGTTTAACTCATGTGAAGACTTTCACTTATAATGGTGTAAATACAATTAACCTTTTAACACTGCAAACACTGAACTCTGATTAGTTCAAGACATAAGGGGCAACAATGCAGTGTTTGCATAGACACTGATTTAAGTGGACTGACTTTGCAGATATACAATAAAATGTTTGATTACTGGTATCGTACAGAGTTTAGTTTAATATGTGTACATTTTCCGTGTAAATGTGTTTCATTTCCTCATATTTCCCTTTGGTAGAAGATTTACCTCTTTGTCAGCCTGAATCAAAGACTTATATATTCGATTGCGCCAATATCGGACACAGATGTATGTGGAAGTTCTTGGCTGTATTTGTTTAAGTCAGTGTTTCTCATCCATGAAATAGCAAATCCACAATCTTTTTGATGATTTAATTATTAAGTAAAAGCAACTTGAGCAGTCAGGAATATTGAAATATGTGATTTATCTTTTATTAAACCATCCTGGGCTCTTTATTTATACAGTGCACTGCATTTCAGTACATAAAAGTAAATGCACCGAACAGCTGGAATGAAGACCAATTTGATCGTTCTTTCCAAAGCTTTGTGCATAAAATCACAAAACGCTTCATCTATAAAAATACAGAGGACAATGGAAGCCTGCCAAAATATATTACAGCTTAATATACAAATATATAAATGTACATTCAATAAATACAATATGACGTATTCTTGAGATGTATTATGGCTATCATGTAGGTCAGTCCATCACAAATCACCAAGGCTTGCATATTCATTTTCATGTTTGACCTTTCAAAATAGGGGCACCTTGTAGACTGAGCTTAGTCAATGAGGTAAACTGTTGCAGGTGAGACACTGTTGACCCATTCATTAAGTAATTAAGGAGCACCTAGCCATTACTTTAACATTTAAAAAAGTAACCTCAATACAAATTTAATTTAAAAAGATACCTCAATTAAAAAATGCATATCCCTGTTGGACCGCAATCTTAATGACCTTAACATCTAAATGGCTGCAGGGGACAGAGAGCCTTTTTAAAGTGACCAGTGACACAATAACCAAAACGCAATCAAAGAACAAGCAAGGCTTCAAGAGATCAGATATTAACACGACTCATATTTAAAAAAAAAAAAGAAAATACTGATTTAAAAAGGTATTTACAAAGACCGCTGTGATTCTCTCTTCAGTAGATAGTAAATACTTCTTTGGTCCCTGTTGATTGTAGGCAATTAGTGGTTAGGTAAAGACAAACTTTAGGGACAATATGATAATTTTGTACATAAAAAACAAACAAAAACAGAAGCATGTGCCTAAATTATGCCTATCACTATGAATCATTTCTACATTTGCAATAATCCAAGTTCACATAGGCAAAAAATACAGTTCAAAATACATCAGAATCAGTATAAACAGTATATATAGGCTTCAAACACATAAACAAATGATTACAAAGATATGCAGCAAAAGCTTAGCATTTTGTCAAATGTGAGCACATCATCACAAAGTAACATTTTTCAGCAGCAGAATTTGCAGAGACAGAAGAGAGCTTGTGAGCAGACTCATTTCCAGCACTGTGGATGAGGTTGTTGTGTGGGAGTTGAAGTCATGAGGCACAAGAGGAGGGAAATTAGAAGAAAAAAAACACAGCATTCGGTATATATTGAGTAACTTGCAAAGGCGTTCCCAGTGTTGAGCTGGGTGCTGTCTATCTTTGGCTATGTATCTACAGATGGATGATGTGCATGATGGGTGGATGTGTGCGTGTTCAAGTGCAACTTCAAGCGTCGTTCTGCCCAAAAAGGCTGCCCTGCACTTTCAGCTTGTGCATCCTGGAAAGAAGTAAAAACAAAAGTGAACAGGAGGCTTCTTCTGATCGTAGTACAATTCTATTTTAAGCAGCATACTTCCAATAAAAATTGAGCTACTCAAGTGTATAACTATTCTCCTCAACTTACAGTTTCTCTTTACGGCTCCGGTTGTCTTCTTTTGACTTGACAAAGACTGCATCTTCTCCTCCCCTGACGAGGTAGGCAAACTCGCCTTCCTTCGCGCTGAAGATCACCCTGGAATCACACAGGAAAACATTTTTAAAGTCCCCCATCTGAAGTACACACACGTCTCGATAATCATGTATTTTGGTGGTTACTAAGAACTTACTTGGACTGGGTCTCCCCAGACTTGATGCGCAGTTTCCGGATGTGGAACTTGCTACTTCCCCACCAGTTTGACCAGCTGATGATTGTGTCCTTCTCCCAGCGCAGCTTCACGAACATCAGCTCTCCAATGTCCACATCGGTGGTGATGAGGAAGGACAAAGTGGTGTTACCGGTCAGGTCCGGCCTGCAGGGTGAAAGCAAGTGTCAAAGGTTAGCTGCTCAAATTGGACTGTCCTCTACATGGAATCAATAAAGGCATCCATGGTATGTGCGTGACGTATGTGCCTTTATGGTCTTTATTTAAAGTCAGGATGGTTGGAAACGCTGTTGCTGACCATCTGTCTACTTTTTCTTGTGATTTCCACATGCACATGTTTGGTTTTTACATGATGGATTGTACTGTTAATATACGTACAGAACAAAGGGAATGTCTTCCTTCTCTCCGTGTGTTCCATACAGAGAAATCTTCATTGGCTGCTCCGTGAAGCTCAGACTGTCCTTACTGAAGATATGCACCTTCACTTGATAATGGAAAACTAGGAGAGAAGAAACAGACAGTTTACTGAGGGCCAGCTCAGACACACCACAACAGTATATAACTCAATATTTCAGCACACCTTTGAAGACCCTTAACAAACTGTCCAACAAAAAATACTGCTGACTTGTGCCAAACTGTAATTCTTAAATAAACCTTCCATTGCTTCACATGCAGCGGTGTCGCATTACCTTAGCATACCCCAAGCAACTAAAATACCCATGACCTCTTCTTCATGTGACCTTCTGAATACTTGCCACTTGTTGTACATGTCTGCTTACATTAGTTTCCCTGAAAATTGGGGATAGTTTTTTTGTACCGACTTTACTATTATTCAGCTCCAAGCAGCCACATCCACATTAAGTACATTAACAACAGTAGCTCATACACTGAGGATTACTCTAATTAAGACATGTGCATGAATTAACTCAACTTTCAGTAATCCTCAGTAAAGTACATAAACCCACCAGACTTTTCTGCAGTAGTTTGTATTTCTTCGGTTTTCTTGCATTGCACAGAACACAAAATCTACAAACGCCTCTTCTTCATGCTTACCTTTGTAAGGCATCATGTCACGGGTCTTGAGGTACATCTTGGTGCTGCGGGCCATGCGGACCTTGTTGATATTGTAGCCGAGCGTGTTGCAGCGGTTCTTTCTGCAGCTGAGGCACAGACCTTTGTTGAAGGCGTCTTTGGAGTTGCAGCGGTAAGCCATGCTCTGCTGCTGGGTGTTCAGCAGAGAGTCGATGAACAGGTGGATGGAGCGCTCATGGGAACATTTGACGAGCTGGTCCATATCTGCAGTGCACAGAGAGTACAGGAGCTGTAAAAACAAGCTGTTTCTTCTCTCACGTGACGTCATGCAGCAGAGAAAATGTCTTCCTCATGCTGACCCAGATGGCATTTCTCACCAGCAAAACATCAAGCAAGACTTTCATCTCCACACAAAACAGAACAGAGGGGGAGATACTGGGAATCTGTAGCGGTGTCTGTCATGACTGGAGGCAAACATTTTAATTGTAGCCCTGAGAGCTTTTATAGATTCAAAGTGTCTGTTTGACACCATGTAAACTTACACAAACCTATCTTGATGATTTACAACAGCGCTATTGTAAACTTTTTCGCTTTAATGTGTGTTTATGGTGCAGTGTGTCAAACAGAGGAGGTGGAGAAGATTGGTACCACCAGGTCTGAGCAGCTGGAGTCTCTCAATAAGGGCAGATGCATGCCAACATGCAGGTATTACCTTATTGCCAATGTCAGTGAGACCTAACAAACCACATAACTTACAGTATATAAACCGAAACCTAACCCAAAGCAGCGAAGAACAAACATTTATGAATTTGGAGTACGTACTTTGGAGTCCCTTGATGCCTTCTAATGCGATCCCCAGCAATGTATTCTGGATATCGCAGCCCGGCTGGAAAGTGCCTCCATTGGGGTAAATGTCGATGTGGCCCACAGGTCTCTGGATGCCGATGCTGCGGTCTGGGGAGCCCCTGGTGTTGGTGTGCAGGACGTCCACAAACTGGGCGTCATCTCGGGACAGGGTGTTCTGGTTGTCTGCGTGCTCGAAGGTGGGACCAGCAGGATCAAGACCTGGGGGAAAAAAGCAGAGTGAGGCAAGGGCGAAGTCAGATGTGTGTCGATAAAAGACATGCATAAAAGCAGAAAATAACAACCTATAAAACTGTACATTTGAGTATGTGTTTCATACGGCCTATTTCCTCTATGTGCAGCTCTTTAAAACCACTGAAGCTCAGAACAATGTGAAGCAGCGATTGTGGGTTCTTAATGGTCTCCAGCCTCAGATCACAGTAAACATACTATTATTCTAAGCAGGTCAGAGAAATTTCAAAGCCGGATAAACTTCGTAGTGACAAAAAGGGGGATTGGACGCTCTAACTGGCACCGACTGGCTATAAGCACACATACAATACGGGCCTGGAATGTAATGGCCAACGGATAATTTTTCATTGGTGTGCTGTGTTGTTTTTATGAGCATGCCTGGAAAGATTAGGGCCCATATATTACATTACAGTATGGTATGTTTGCATGCATGAATTCATTGGCTCAGAGACTAGATTTAGACATTAAGTGCCAAAATAAAATGTTAAAACACATTGCACATGGCCATATGGTATGAGGTATGAATCTTCCATTTGAATCAATCATAACTAAAGAGAATTTGCACGTAGAGCCAAAAATTATGTCTATTTGTTCATGAGTGTATGCAAAGCGGTGCAGGTTTATCTACTTCAACCAACCATTCAGAACTGAGGGTGAGAATGACCCATTTTCCAATTATTTAGATCTGTGCTTGGGCTGTTTATCTGTCTGTAATGTAAGCAGATGGTTAAGTTATTGTTCTCACCTGTGATCCTGCTGATTTTATGGTCAGTGAGGTCTCCCGCAACTCCAGCTACATGTGCACCCAGACTGTAACCCAGCAAATGAACCCTCTCCCAGGGCAACTGCAGCTCGTTCTGAAAAGGAGGGGTGGATGACAAGAACATGTTGACATGCTTTAAAAACAGTTTAAAGTGAATCCTGCAAACTTGCTAGAGAGATTAAAACTAATAGCAGGCTGTACCTGGCAAAGCACTGTGGCTTTTCAGTTCAAGTCTTAATAGAGTCTGGGATGTAATCCAAGTAAAGGATTAATTTGTGTAATTTTATGCTTTGCCAAAACTTTGCAACTGGAAGTCACGTAAACAAAGGACAAACCAATGAAAGCATTATTCATGCCAACACCCTTGTTTGTCACTCAAACAAAGGCAACGCTCGACAAAAAACTGAGCCTTTTTAATGAGTGGCTGCTGTGAGCCACAGACACGGCCATAAACCGCCTTTACAGGGAGTTTAGAATCATAACCAGTTGGAAACCATATCCGCCGCAGCAACGCTAGGTACATAAATATTACATCATTGCTTACACACATGCCACAGATTCACCAGCTGCTCTAATTTCTTTGCTGGCAGATTTACATAGAGTGCAGCAATAATTTGGACATCCAAAAGCAGTAGTTCAAGTCCACTTGGTAATAAAGACAATGTGGAAAACACGATCCAGCTGTTAGCCAGCTGTCAACCAGCCTTGATACTGTTCAATGAAAACACTCACTTGTAACCAGGTAACAAACTTGGCGACATCACGGCCAACTAGTTTGGTATAGGCTGCAGACGTCGGGTAGTGCTGGTTGGCGCGGGTCAGCCAGTCCACCACGATCACATTGGCACTGGGCTCACGCTCATAGAGGGCAGACACCAGCTTGGGCACCCAGCTCTCGAACATCCCCGTTACCTACAGTAACACACACGCACAAACATGGTCACGCACTTTTCAGAGGTCAGCTGCAGTATGGCGTGATTTATTCTGGCCCTTAGCCCTCATTCTGCGTCCTGGAGAGATGCCAAGGTGTCATCAGGTTTAAATCTTGTTGCATGACTGGCTTTAAATCACATTATAGGGGGAGATGCATGAAATGTTGGACTAAGCCAACTCACTTTTTTCAGCCTGTCTGCTCTGAAATGTGTTATTTATTGTTGTATTCATCTCACAGGACTATAGGGGTGCTTATAAGTTTGGACTTGGCTCAACATTTAAGATCAGGTTGGTGGGAGACTTAACGTTGTACTGGCAAGACATTATGTTCTTCTTCTAACATTTTATAGCATTATTTCAACTGATATTTGAGGTGTAATTTACCACATCAGTATCTCCCAGCCTGCAGTACATTCAAAGAACTGTGCATATTACACAGATAGATACTTAACTAACAATAGAGGGAACCATAGGATACACCAATAGAGGCTGCTATGATTGTGATATGACTTTTGAAATACATTCAGTCTGACATACCGTCCAGCCATGTATCACAATGAAGGTCTGAGTTGCCGAGTTGAATTCACACTCTTTGATGGTCTCTGGCCTGCCGGCCACAATGTAGCACATGTCATCATCTGGGATCTCCGATGTGCGCAGGGAGAACTTGGACACAATGTCAGTGAAGTCTGTGATCCATTCAGCAGTGGTCGGCAGTGGAGTAGCGGTGACTGTGGTGTTTACTGTAACAACATGCACACAAAGAGAAATGTAAAGGAATGCAGGCACAATCAGGGATTCAGAGCAGGAAAAAGCTACATTTATAACATTATTATCACACCTTCCAGCTCTATGTATCCATAGAAGAGACAGCCATATAAGCCACTGTTTTATAAACTAAATATAGATAAATAATAATATAATGCATAGATTAACACATTTTGACAAAATGAACACAATGAATTCAGCATACAACAAACCTTTTCATGCAAATTATAAAACCCTGCTGCTCTTCTCAATTATATTGAGTGACCACTAATCTCACCAGTGTGACTCAGTCAGCCAGGAGAGGAATAGAGCAGGGCAGTGTCGCCCCCTTTTGTCTCCACTGCATTTCTACCAGCATAAAATTAATTGAACCTCCAAATATTGTTAATTAAGAGTTTAGATTCCCTTAAGAGATTTACTTCAGTTTATTTCATTGATTAAAATTAGTTTTTGTCCAGATTTGTAAACTAAATAGTATTGTTTTAAATCAATTAACGCTACATGGTTTTGAGTGGAGAAATTTCATTAAAAAAGGATATCATGTATTTCTAATTGAACAATAAATATTAGTATGTGTATCAATTATAACCTCGAAAACAAAGCGCTGGTATTTTAATTGAAAATATTCCGATTTTTGCTTTTAACATACTCTTCTCTTCAGACAAAAGGCCTGCAGCAGCAGTCCTGCACACATACACATGAATGGTATGAAATGTGCTGCAGACCTGTACTGTGAAAGCGTTTCACGGGGTTACTCCCGGTCAACACGGAACAGCGCGCATTAATTAACCTGCTTCCCGAACATGTTTACTTCATTATAGCTGCGGGTCAATCACACAAATAATACCCTGCCAGGCAATATATTATAATCATATATCACTGATTGATCGGTCTTACCAAACACAGTGCTGTTGCTGGTGGTGGGTTCAGGGTCAGAAGAAAAAGTTGCAAAGATTTTTCCCAAAATTATCCAAACTGTCAAAAAACTGATATTTTCTTTTCCCATATTATTGAGAAGTTTTTTTTCTAAAAGTATCCTGAAAAAAAAAGTTCTCTGAATGTCGGGCTATCAGTTGTATATCCAGTCGTGTGTTTTAAGTCAGAAAGTGGTGTGGAGTTGCGGTTTAGGAGTAAAGTTTCTTATGGTCTGTCACAGATGCCGCTCCAAGTTATCTTTATGGGTGGCTCATTTGAATATTCAAACATGATTGGCTGGAGGTTTGTGGGCGGGATTTAAACTTTGTCCCTGTTCTGAATCACTGGAGGGAAATCATTCATAATCTGCTGACCCACTGCAGCGCTCAGGACTCAAATGGTGTTATTAGAGTTTGTAACAAGATATCGATTAGGTGCTTAGATTCTCAATTAATTACTGGAAAGTTGTCTCAGACTTTAAGTTTAAATGTTATGTTTCATTTTAAGGTGCTGCAAAGACAAAAATGTATTTATGTTTTTTTTTCTGTAACCACCATGTATTTTACCAGGATAATCCACTTAGTATCTACACTGCTCACAATGGAGACTTATATATGAAACATAACCAATAAGATCATTAAAACACAGTAATAACAGTCTGTTGATCAGTGTGGTTGTCCAGTTTATAGGTTACAGTGAATTAACTTTGTCATTTTCAAACCCAGTTTTCTCCAGTTCCAGATATCTTTCCACTCATTTATTCAGTTTTCTCATTTTCATATTTGTATATATCTCATTTATATTTATATGTTATTTTAATCACCCACATGATGTTTATTAAATCTGATTCAAATCTCATGATAAATTAGTTAATTGCGCCAGTGCTTGTGGCCTGAAAAGCCCTGTCAGAGGCTGCTGATGCTTTTCTCAGCCAAGTCAGATGTGATCATCTTTGACAAACCTTCTTCAGTGTGGGTGTGTTAAAAAAGGCCCCTCTCCTATTGGTAGATCTCCAACTTTAACAACCACAATGTATTGCCCCATGCCCTCTGATTATATGCAAAAAGGAAGCTTGAAAATTTAAAAATAAAAATAAGCAAAGAAAAGTACATTCCAGTCTCATATCATGTGAAATGAAAACAAGATGTTAAGACACTGCGTACTTTATGGTGGCAGTTAGACCCTTTTGTGGCACTCGGGGGCACCAGAAAAGCTCCAAAGAAATCAAAGACACATGTATGATGAAAACAGGCATGAGAGAAATGCGTCTGAGCACATGTGTCTGAGTTTTATGATGATTTTAATGCCAAAACACCTGCATGAGAATATTTTGCACCTCTGTTATCTCTCCAAACTAAAACAATATGGCAATAAAAACAGACTAACCTATAGCCTGGATACTTTTCCATCAAAATATTATTGTACAGCATGAAGTCAGCACCCTAATAGCACAGAATGTTTGATATTAAAGGATAAAGTTTCTATGTTTTTAACCATGATATATGTTCGTCTTTCAGAGAACCTGTTCTGTGTCTGATGTCCTCCCACTATGTCATTTAATATGCAGAAGTATTATTCTTCTAAAAACTAAACTAAATGACATTTGGAGTTAAAAAATCACACGTGGAGCGTGTCCACGTTGTTTCCTTGAAAAAAAGGAGCCACAGACACACTTTTTCACACAGTTGGTTTTTTTGCGTCTGAAAGAGGTCTCCCCCCTCGGAAGAATTTACTACATACACAGATGGAATAGCTTCAACCGTGTAGAAGAAGAAATTTAAGATATTTAACCCATGTGTTGTTCACACGCGTTAACTTTCCATGGTTTGGGGTCAAAATCAAGACAAAATCTTCTTCTGAGGTCATAAAACCCATAATGTAGAAAATGTACTTTTTACAAACAAAACTTCTACATTTGATGGTCACAAAATACATACATTTCCATTAAACAGTGTTATTACACCAAATAATTAATATTTATTTAATTTTATATGTTATATGGACGAGGAAGAAACAAATAAATATTCATTTTGTTTGCCAAAAGACAAATATATGTACAGTGTGTTTGACCTGAGAAAGACCTGTTTGACCTCTTATGAACAAACTGTTATGAACTCCAATAACAGGAATCCAGATAGACTTATTTTGGATTTGGGAGGCGCTGTGTAAAAAGTGCACTGATCACAGAAATAGATTATATTATATTATATTTTATTACATTAGAATTACAATAAACCAGTTTTACAGCTGGAGTCTCTGAGACTCCAAACAGAAGTAAAGTGACATTTTCATCATGTTTCCAAGCAATTCTCATAAAATTAGGAATTCTTGAAATCTCTGTGTTTTTTGAGCTGTTAAAGAGGATCCAAGAGTCTCCAGGACTCCAAACACAACATAAAGTTTGGTGGAATACAAAAAAATAAAGAAACAGTAAGTGTTGCTCAGTAATCAGCTGCTGCTCTATATTTGCCTTCTCCAAATATAGTCCACTACGTCTTTTATCTCACATGTTCAAGTATATGTATGTCTTTGTATGTTTAGGTGTGTTTGTATGTGTGCTTGTTGGGAAGGTGATGCTTATGGCCAGACCTACAGGCCCAACCCAGTGATTAGAGAGAAAAGCAACGCCTATCCCCCCTAGCCTGTGATCTCAGTCTCCATCTCCACATTCACTGCTGCTACTGTATCTGACCCCAAGAGAGACTTGCAGGGATAAACGACAGCGCAGAATGTCATATCCTGTATGAGACACACCCAGGCAGACTCACCAAAATTATGTTTAGTTTAATGGAAAACGAGTTTGGGAGGAGGAGGAGGAGGACTTTTATCAGCAAAAAGAGGAAGAAGGAAAGTCGAACGATAAAGAGAGGGAGAGAGGAAGAATGACAGGTATATAAAAACAGTCTGCTTGTGGCAGTTTGGTCTGTATACAGATCTGATACAATGTCATTCAGTGCGTTTGATCTTCAATTAGTCTGAGCCCTTGCGGAAATTAAAAGATCACAACAGAGAGAACATAGATTTCCTGCTGGGGAGGAATTCCTTCACTTTCCTGTTGTTGCTTTTTCTTCAGCAAACCTAAAAGGCTGCACATTTGTTTCACATTCCTCTGTTTGCACCGCTGAAAGATGATATCCATTCTACCAGAGCAGTTTTAACCCACGCAGACTACCTCATGTATCTGCTGATTGCAAATATTTAAATGAGTTATAAATACAAGCAATCTGTTTCCTTATACGTCTTCTTTTTCCTTTTCTCTTTGCCTCCAGTGTTAACATGTGTTTACAGGTGTAGTCTACGCAGGTGTAGTCACAATAATAACAACATGCAGTCCATCAGCCTCGCACGAAATCTCTGAAAGTGAGACTTAAACCTCATAAACATGTGTTTGGGCAGCCGTGCAAACACACTCTCACACACAGATCCCGAATGGTGAAATCCTCAACTTAAACGCTCGTTCTGATGAGTCACTGAGAAGGCTGTTTCTAGGAAAAAGGAAAGAGGGGACTGGGTTTCAGAGGACGATGCAGCATAAATATTTGCAAGCGAATTTGCAGCGGGGGGCCCCTATGCTTCAGAATGGTTGCACCATGTGTGTACAGTATGTGGCTTCCACACTAAAGTGGGTGTTTTGTCCAGAGCCAGCCCACAGGAGGTGTAGTTTCATGTGTATTAAGTGTGATCTGGTGACTTTCGGTGATTTTGACCTGGAGCCACACTTGCAACTTTGTCTCTCTTCTTTAAACTTTATTGCTTGCTCTATTGCGGGTGCAAGGCCATCCTCTCATTGTTTTTCATGACTTCACTGACACTCATCACATTGTGTTCTTCTTTATCAGAATGTTTCCACTCTCTTCATTGCCATCACTGTCCAGACACATCAGGAGATGGAAAGACCTTCAGGAATTTCTGATGAGACCTTGAAGCCAGCTGGAGACTCAGTAATGTCAAAGACAAAAAAACCCCCACAACTTATAAATCATGGTTTCACTAAATCATAAGGCTTAAATCACATTTTACTCAGTGACATAAAGAGAGAGCTCTAATTAACCAACATCAGAGTGGATTTTAGCTTTAATTGCCCATTCAGAAATCAATTAGGTGAGGGGAAAGAATTGCTAGGCAGGAAAGAAAGAAAGAAAGGCTCCTCAGTTGGAGTGCAGTCTTTTACGAGTCTCCTACTAAAGACATAGTAAGGTCATAAAAGAGCCGCAGAGAGACTTGAGGAGGAGACGTGCGTTTGTGAGGACGGCAGTATTTTATTCCTCTATTCAAGGGTGACACGAAGAGGTCGTGTTATACACTGATGCAGGCAGTTTACGAGGAAATTAACTGACGCATGAATTGCTCGTGTGTTTGTGTGTACATGCACAGGACGTTTGTTTATATCTAACATCCCCCGAGAGTGTCTCTTGTTTGTATCCACTGTTCACTGTAGACTGTGTGTGCCCCTTTTATGAACCCCTCAGCCCTCACTTTCCAGTAAGTGAACAAGCAAGACAACAAACACAGAGGAGGAAAATAATCTACAATACTCCTCCTGGGGGGGAAAAAAGTAAAAAAGTACAAAATGTGGAATTGAGGAGATCGTAGATTATAGACTAATGATGTGTGTGTGTGTGTGTGTGTGTGTGTGTGTGTGTGTGTGTGTGTGTGTGTGTGTGTGTGTGTGTGTGCAGAAACATCCAAACTAACCATTATTTTTTTATTCTACTGGACATGCATGAGTCTGAACAGTTTTAACAGATTAAATCACTTCTGTGGTCTCGCTGTTAGGCCATGTTGTCTTTTTGAGAGATGCTGATCATCATTATTACATATCATGTTCGACACACGTATAAATATATGTAGATATAGATAAATTAAACCAAAGTGCATGTACAGATGCCAAACACCAAGACAGCACTGTTACATAGCATGAGAACATTTTTCAGTTGGATAAGGCAATGTAGGTAATGTAGACACCATGTTTTGACAAGGAAGAAGTGTGAAGTGAATGTGTGGGGGGAAAAAAAACGTCCATCATGAGTCTGACAGTGTTACAGGAGTGCAATGCCAAACTTGGTAGGATACTCTTCTTTGAGAAAATCTGCCGAGATTACACCTAGAAATATGCAGAGCCCTTTTTCCTCTACTAAATCCTGTAATATGATCTCACTGAGGAAACTTCAATGACTACAGATGAGTGACCTCATGAGTTTGGTAGGAAGCCAGAAACGTCAGTCTTC